ACTCCTTTACATAGCTTGCTTTTCTCCTATCCTGCTACCTTCCATCACAGACACAGGCTACCAACAACAATTCGATCATACAATAACACCTACTAATGGTGGGACTGTTCCGAGCCTCCTCAACATGATAGGTTAGCGAGAATCTTCAGTTCGAACTGAGTGATCGCGTGCAGAGACACCGAATCCGGTGACCACGTGTCCAACGTTCCTGGATGCCATGCAATTTCTGCCTCCAAGAGCTCTTTTCCCTTTTGTTGAAATCAGTGCGAAGGCTCTGTAAACACGCCTTGAAACGTCCTGGGCCGGCTGCTGCACACCAAGAAGTCAAACACCAGCACCGATACCCAGAATATTCATTACTAGAGGCGATTCAATATTGTGAAGGAGCAGTCAAATTTATGCAAGATCATCTTCTTGCACATAGCAACTAGCACGCAGACACAGAACATTGCGTCATTTTGTATCGAGCGATGAGTTCGCTGCAATAAATGAGGTATACGAACCGCCAAACCAATTAGCCCGCTCTTGACTAATTTGGAAATTTTGAGCCCGCAAAGAAATGACGTTTGGGTAAAAAGATGCAGTTCCAAAGAAGTTCGCAACGCCCCTGCTGGAGCGTATGAGTAAACCCAACACCGTGAATACTTCCAATGTTTGCCAGAGCAGGCTCGGTTCTTGCCGCCGAAACACAAATCACAGTAATACGGTTGTGCGCATGGTAAGCGAGCACTTGCTTGACCTCAGGTACCGTTGCTTATCCTGAAACAGCTGTACTGCACAATTTAGATGTGACGGACACTCTTGAACATTTTAGCTGAATTCTAGGAAGTCGTCCTTGTAAAAATCATTTCAGCCCTTTTTGATAGGCTCACAAAAATTTCTGATTAGATTGCTGTCTCGGTTCATCCAGGGCCCCAGCAAGTCTGAGCAAATTACGGGTATACTAGAGTGTGCGAGTGCGGGTCCCATTTTGGGCCTCTCATCTGGGTGACTGAGCATTTGAAAGAAAGCGTTTGTGGACTTCAATGCCCAGTGAACTGTAGATTGGTGAGCTTGTTAAGCAATTCGCCAATATGAGCAATTGGTACTTCTGCTTCGCAGTAATCTCGTTCAGGAGCTTAAACTTGACAAGAATGCGCCATGCTTCGTCTTTGTTCGCCTCGGCCAACGTGGGATATGACCGAAGGCACCAGTTGATTCCTGCACATTGCCTGTATTGCAGACAGTCATTTGCCTGCCACTCATTCTGCGCTTCGTGCCGTGGGGGCTTCCGATACTGCGAAGAACATAGCTTGGGGCTGACCCAGGGATTATTACAAGATGTGCGTTGGATGCCCAACAAGTAGCCAAGCTGCCGGCTCTTCTTCACTATTTACCATATATACGAATTCCTCCTTGGTCTTTGTTCATCCCTTCTATACCTCAGCTAAAGAGTTGATGAATTTCTTATAAAAACTAGCTGCAGAGCCACCGGAACAGGGTGCATTCTTAGAACTGCCATCGCTTTGTATACAGCAAAGCAGCCTAATCGAAACTCTTCCTCTTTGTATTGAGGTAGCGACTGTACCCAGCTTGCCATAGATGAATTGGCCGCTGTTGGGGAAATCCAGAGCTGATTTTTTCGAGCTCTCCTTGGCAGAGTAGCTTCAACAGCGCTCGCTCTGGCCACATGAGTGCCTTTTGTTTGGTCGCCCATGGTGTGGGTACGATCACGCTATGATGCATGAGTCCAAACTTAAAATAGCTTAACATGCTAATATGATCCAATTTTAATTCCAAGTTGGGCTTACCTACCTTAGCGGTGCCAATATTTGCGTTCTGCGGCCTGCCACCAGAGATGAGTCTCAGAGACTGCGATTACGAGTGAACAACGAAACTGCACGTTTGCGTCGTCTCCTCAAATACCAGATCTAATTCAAAGTCAATGTCAAGTGATGCACGCAATTCTGGAGCATTACTCTGAGCTTTCATCCTCACAGGATGAGTTGTTGTGTGTCCGAAAGGCCCTCTGCACTGCGCCGCAGCATGCGTGGGAGGTTACCCGTTACATTCCTTGATTAACCATCTTGGCTCGCGAATCAGCCTGCCTTTGCTGGATCATGTCCCTCTTCTCGGGTTGCTTGGTATTTCGCATGCGCTTACAGTTCCGAATCGTATGATCTTATCTTTCACCCTAGAAGCAGGTGTGTTCCTGGGGAAGGTCTCAGGATGGTTGGAAACGCGGGTTCCCTGTGCCTTGCTACTTTCATCCGCCCTAAATTGTAAGACAGGTTCGAAGTGTAACAATCCATTCAAGCCGGCGACTTTTGTTACATCAAGAGAGTACGTATTGAAGTGCTGTTCCCTTCTATGAACATGCCAGAAGGAGGAATTGTCTATTTTCATCTGAGGGTACAAGTGAGGGAACTCTCCAACTGGCTCATGAGAGCTTCAAGTACCTTCCCTCCTTACGATCTCCTTGCTGTCCTGGTCGGCATCATCCCATCGTTACACCTATACACTTCTAATCTACTGAGCAATCAGACCGTTCTACCAGCTATGCGCCCACTGGGTTCGCAACGGCTTGCAGGCCAGCCTTCGCCGCGTCAATAGGCGTTGGGCCACCATAAAGTTCCACCGCCAGTGGGTGGTTTTTCCACACTGTTGCCATAGAAAATCGAACTCCTAACCTGCCTAAAAACATGGCCGAAGCTCGAAGTCAGATGAGAAATAGACATTGCACTGCATCCGCAGGCAGTGGATGAGAGGAGGCAAGATGCATCAAACCCTGCTGTGCTCTTCACTGTATCACTTCATTTAAGGTCTTGGTAAAGATACGATTTATTTGACACGTAAAAGCTTGAAAGTTTTTGACTGTCCTTTTCAAATGCCTTTGTTCTCCGCCTATCTGCGCCCCTCAGAGTTCCCCACATGAGGGAAGAGGGGCAGCTAGGGTGCGCGTAGCTGCGCCCTTTAACCACTCTGCGCATTCACCGCTAGTTGCTAGTTCCACATAGCAGCGAGTAGACACACACAATACTGCGTCTGACTGCATCGGGCTGACAGTGTTTCACAATAAAATAGGACTTTTGACCAAAGCAACCAGCCAGATCTCTACGGAGTCGTACTTATTTGAGTGGTGTAGCAGAAAGTATGGACGTGTACCCCGCCATTAGTAGGGTATATTTGTGCGCTTTTCGCGATGCCCTGACGGCGCTCAATAGAGTACGTAAAAGAACATTGGGTACAGAGATTACAGACAAGATTAGAGAGGCAGCGGAGGCGGGAAAGACGACAGCCGCTCTTTTGGCTTTTAATCTTCATTTGACAGTTGAAAGGTTGAGGCCGGTCCTCAAAAGGCTTTACAATTTACAGTCAAATATGAAGGCACACATCAATCGCGTTCTCCCTACGTGCGATAAGGTTTGTTCCCGCCGAGGATACAATAAGCATAGAGACCCAGGTAAAAAGACCGCCCCGCATCTTCTTTTCTGCCGATTTCCCACCAAAAAGCCAAACAATTCTTGTACAGGCGCATCAACACTAGAGCACGATTTCTAGAAACGGATGGGGAACAGAGGATCTTGTACACAGATTGCCACAGAGTACCAGACTAGGCTTTGGTCTTATATGTGGCTTTCCACATCATGGTAGTTTGCACGAAGCAAGAGGTTTCTACGGAAGCGCTGAAGGGCCGTAAAAATTGTATCCAGGTCACTGGAGTTGTGTGTGTAGGTGATAAGAGCACGTGTAACGTAGCAACTGGCGGTTGACTACATTCTTGCTCTCTGCTTTTACTATTTGGACAGCGAGTATGACCTTGCTTTGGCATGCAGTACTCGTCGATATTCGACATCGTCTCTGGCTGTCTAGCAATATTTCGGTATGTACGAGTTTCCTCTGCTGCTTTGTAAGGTTGCACGCACAAGTAATACCAGACCTCCCCAGCACAGGGAAGATGGTGAGACGAGCATCGATAGAGTAGAAGAAGGGGTTAAGAGCAGAGTGAGATCGAGTTTGCTGCCCCAAATGAGAGTAATACATTAATGGTAGGCGCAAGGAATTGCAAAAGCGAAGCCAAACATATAAAGAGATTGGCCGTACCAGTGGCACCCCCACAGAACAACACTGTATACGAAATCGCGCGAGGCGCTTTCACCCCCAAAGCGGCCACAAATCCTGTCTGATTGAATGGTCGCTATTTTACTGCTTAAGGCTTTCTGGGTTGTTTTTTTCTCTACCATCACCAGGATTATGTACATAAAAGCGTTCATCTTATTTCCTGGGAAGAAGTGCTCCTTGTTGTGTCGATCCTAAGGGTCTAGCAGTGAGCGGTGCCTTGGCTCGCCTCTCTCTTGTTTGAAGCCTTTCTTCAGCCTCCGCTCGTCTCTTGTCTATGACAGCACGATTTTTCTTCGAGGGAACACTGCGTAGATGACCATTTGGGTCTTCTCTCTGTTCCTTTCTGCAACCCACTCCCCCCTTCCCTGACTGTGGCAGGTCATATTGCTCGCATCTCCCTGCATTGGGCTCTTTTCCACAATACGGCACCTCCGTGTTGGAGCGTTTGTTACAAGCCATCGGTACCGGAGTCGTTTCTTCTAAATGCCCCCCGCCTCCTTGCCTCTCTATTCTAGGCCATCGGCCTTGTTTGAAAGGATTACAACACCCGCCGAAGAGCTTATTGAGTCTCGCCTGCATCTACCCAGCTGTGTTCATTCGCATTGGCCTCCAACCCGCACTCTCCTGCTTTCATACCCTTTTGTTCTTCGCTCCGTTCCCCACAGCTGGAGTATCTATCTGAGATCTTATGCAGGACGTACGATCTGAGGCTGAAGAGCAGTGGACGATCCGCATTTGAGTTCTGCTCGTCGATTGTGTAGCTATGCTTTGCTTCAGCCCGCGCAGCCTGGGATTTTTTGGAGGTGACAAACCCTTTATGTGTGCACGGGGCCCTCGGTAGCAGGCCCTAGGCGGCTACGGCTTTCGTGTCCGCTGCTCTAGCCATCCTTGGGCGAAAGATGATGCATCCAGATGAGCCCGAGTCTTCTTCGCCTTCAGTACCAGGGGCCACCGTCTGTCCCACAATTTATGTGAACACCACAGAACAACACACGGGTACATCTGGTAAGAGAATTTCCTTCTGTGTGCCCTCTTCTTTCCTCCTGAGTAGCAGCGCTGCGCCTCCGGCCGAGGGAGCCTCGTTATTGCTTCTCATGCAATATGCTGCTAGACTGCCCCAGCCTGGAGTTAGTAGGGGGAGAGGCTACGTAGGGAGTCGTCTCATTCTGAACGACGAAAGTGCCGCTTTCCAAGGTTTCAGGACGACAATCCCGTGAGGTAATACGATTGCGGCTGTACGATTTGTTGCTTGTGCTGTTTCTGTGGTGCAGACCAACATGCTGTACAGTCAACAGCAGCCGTGCAATTATTTAGCGTGCCGAAGGGCTTTCAGTCGCAAGGCCCGAGAATACAGGGTTCTGGCAACGACTCCTGGTCTACAAGAGGGCGGGGCAAGTTCTCAGGCGCTCCTGGAGGTTCAGTCAGAGTGGCTAAGGCGACTTCGAAGGGGACCTTTAGTCGAAATCCCCGAGGGCATAGAACAAAGGCCAAGTTCCCACACGCTGTAGTAACCAGGGCTTCCGCTCGAAGCAGCCAGGCCCAGGCATGTGGAGGCGCCGCGGATAATAAACAGATTGCAAGAGAGCGTGGAAGGGAGCAAGGCGGAGAAGTGGACAAGCAGGAACAATCGGAGGAGACTCAAGCTGCAGAGGGTGCGTCTCCTTCCCCTCCTCTGGAGGCACGGCGGTCTACGTATTTTAGCATATGCCTGAATGCTTCTCCAGATGAGCTGACAGTCGTGTCTTATAACCTGCGGATGGAGAGTGGCTGCTGCTCCTTGGACGATAACTGGAAAAGAAGGGAGGCAGCCCTTTCCCGCTTCCTTCTGGCACTTGAAGATGCTCATCACCCGGATGTCATAATCTTGCAGGGGGCCTTTGCTGGCTCCACGCAACGACTTCTAAAGACGCTGGTTAGGGAGGAGCCTATGTTCCCCTTTCAGACAAGAGTGGTGGGCGGAGACGCGGGTTGCTGTAAGGCAGGCAATGAGGAGGGCGGGTGCTCTTGTGGCAGTTGCTGGTTTTGTCTGCCTTTTCCTACCCGCAAGAAGGCACTGAAGAACGGAAAGGGTTCCCCTGCGGCGTTTGTGATGAACAATGGCTGGGACTCTGTTTGTGGCTCATACTCGCGTCTTCGAGGAAATGGGGGTCTAGTGGTGATATCCAAATGGCCAGTGCTGCGACGCCATGCATTCATTTTCCCCTCTTCAGCGTATCCATACTCTCTTAGCAATATGGGGGCTGCCCTGGTCCAGATAGAGAAGTGTGGGAAGGTTTACAACTTGCTGGCGATGCAGTTGCAACCAGGTGCCGCCTACAACGACGTGCGGGTGGCTCAGGTGAAAGAAGTAATGGCTTGGGTCCGCACAGGGATGGAAGATGCAGAGAAGGTTGAGTTTGCCTCTTGCGACATTGATGGAGCTTTCGACTCATCCACAGTGGCGAGCACGCGCTCTGAGAGCTCTGTGATAACCGCAGAGAGGGCCGGCAGCACAGATGCCTCGACGCAAACTATGACCGGCCTTCCTGAGCTGGAGTCTAAATGGACGAGTGCCTCTCCGGGCGGCAAGGAGGTGCACACTATCTGCCGTGGCAGGGAAGTTGGGCTCCCTAAGGGGATCCTTAAAGCCACAGATCCTCTTATCATTGGTGGTAACCTGAACTTTAGATTTGGAGAGGATCGAGCCGCCCTTGCAGAAGCTCTGGGCCCCGACGGTTTCAACGCAAATCTGGCTTTGGAAGATGCTTCCTTCGCGCAGCCCAATTTCGATACGGTTGCGAACGATACTTGTTACGAGAGTAAGCCACACTAGATGAACCTGTGAAGGACTAAGCTCGTGTCTGTAGGTATGTATGTATATATGTGTATGTGTATACGCGAAGCGCTTGTTCTCGTGTATGGGTTCAGGGTTACGGGTTCACTGACTAATAGTACCGATGCATCCAATGTGTAGATGTAGAGGTAGGGTGGAACCTCTACGTGTGTGTGTGGATGTGTATGGCCATCTGGATACATGCACATGCATAATACACGAGTATCACGTATCTACAGTAATGTACGCGTGCAGCTAAATATGTACACACTGTGACATGCCAGGCAGGTTATTGCGATTAAGGCTCATTCCTCTGATTGTTTGCGTCTCGATGTTTGCGGTGGTATTCATTATAGGCCAAGGGTGCCCAAAGGAACCGTCCCAGGAGCTGCTCGATTACTTGTTGATACACTCGGAGCACGCGGGGAGGGTGGCGCGTGGACAGCGCACCTTGATAGATCCTTCTCCAGAGAAGATTCTCTTTAGATCCCTGGCTTTGGGGTGCATGCCATGCAGTGCCATTGAAGTCAGGCATGTGAGTGACTTCTTTCCGGTCTGTGCAACGTTTGCACATAATGCAGAAGGATGAGGAGGGGGCAACAACAGGGGAGACAGGATGATGTACGAGGAATGGGAAGCAGGAGATTAACAAGGAGTTAATGAGAAGGTTCGACTTGGCCTTCCGCAAATGGCACCGGACGTATGCGAGTCCGTTACACGCGCACTTTCGCTTGCAAGAAATGGGTGCACGAATGGAAATGCGAACAGCGTTGGCTAGTCATCTCTTATTTGGGGTTTTAGTTAGTGTTAACCTGGGTGCGCACAGAAGGCTGCTCCCCGGCTTCCTTTCTGCATAAGAGGCGGCAATGAGAAAATGCAAAAACAAGAACAAGAGGGAACTGTCAGCATAACAGGCTGCGCATACCACCCAAGCTCTGTGCGAACAAACGACTGAGGCAGGTGGCGAGATGGCGCAGTACCCCTACAATCGCTCAACAACTGGGGAAACCGGGGAGTTGACAGGGAAATCTCTCAGCGGGAGATTCGCCATGCTTCATTCCACACAAATATTGGCCTAAGTCCGCTGTACCAGGAGCGCAGTGCAGGTATACGGAAAAGTGAGCGGAAAGAGACGTTTTGTACACTTTAGAAGCCCGAGAATAAGACTTAGTCTACTCTTCGTCAATTTGTGAAAGTAAGGGTAGGCCGCTCAACCTCTTTGAGGACTAGTCTTGCAGGACATATTGTCTTGAGGGGAAAGCTTTCATTGCCACCTAGACCTTCAATCTTCGATGTGTTAAGGAAGCATTACAGCTCGCGCTGCCACAGTCCCTAAGCAGTGAGCTACGCAGAAAAGCTGGGTAGCTTTAGCATAGAGGCCGCCCAAGGCCTGAAGTGACACATGCAGTTGGCGATTCCAAGTGAAGGATCTCAATGAGGTCGGGGTGTGGTGATGAGTGCCCAGCTCTCTGTCAAGGCAGCTGGTCTAAACGTACTTTACTCCGCGACGGTGCATCTTAAAGGGTTGCGCGTACCCGCCTACACAAGAGGGCACAAAGATACCAGAGTTGTTTGGTACTAGGCTCATTTGCTACAGATCTATGTGGCGTTGACCAGCGCGGCTCTAAAGCCGGAAACTCTCAGGTTCAAAGTTATGCTTCAGTCAAAATGCCATATGGTAGAGATGGCAAGGAAGCGCGGGGAACGTTCACACCTTATCGTGGACATGAATAGGCGTCAATTGGTGTTTTCCCATTCGCCATGCTAAATGGCGAACGCCCCTAGCTAGCCAGATGGATAGCCAGTAATTGAGCTAGCTAATTGTGTTTGGACATTGCTGCAAAGTGGTGAGCCCATACGCACATAGCTTGACTCCCCCGAAAGCCGTTGATTTTCCACGACCCGTGCACCTTTAACTCTACACGGTTTTTGGGCCGAAGTTCTGGGGCTGGGGAACTGTTTGAGAAACGAAATTTTGGAGCTGAGAGCTTAGCTGGGGTGCGTCGGTCTCCCATGTATACTCGGGTGTTCTGTTCTCTAGCTGCATGGCCCCCCCTGGAGATCCCGCCAGAATTTGAGCGACATGGTAGCCTAGTTGCGCATGCATTTCACCCATGCCGAGGCCCCCATTCTGTGCTGCTGCCATTAGCTTTACAGCGAGAGCCTGACATCGTGTACGGCTGAGCGGTATTGGAACTCAGGTGTTGTTGCGGCACCGACACAGCTGGGAATCGCATTTGATCAGCTGCACTGCAGTAGCCGTTTCCCAGTGAATTCGAGGCACTGTTATTGGAAGAGTTGTTATTGGGGTTGATGTGCATGTCTTTCAGGATGTCCTCGTCCCTAGCGCTCCACATTTGCAGCACTTCCGCTGCTGATGGTCTGGCCGCTGGATCCGGGTGGAGGCAGCTAAGAATAATATGCCTCGCAATGCCCTGGATCTCATCCGCAATGGCAGGAACTAGAGCATTCGCTAGCGCCTTCTTTTTGAGCTTTTTATAAATGACCCCAGGACTATCACGGCTTGATATGTGTACATGCATGGGGTTGAAAAATCCAAACATCTCATGGAAAACACATCCCATGGACCAAATGTCCCACTTCTCATTGAACGACGGCAAGGCCCGTGAGCCCCCGCCGGGCCCCTCCTCGACCCCCATACACTCTACTGGGCAGCTGCGCAGCAGCTCGGCAGGGGCGTAGAACCAAGTGGCGCCGGAGATGCGAGACACTTGCCCGTCCTCCGAGGCCTCTGCATCTCCAAAATCGCACAGTTGAATCCTCCAGTCGTCAGCCACCAGCACGTTTTCCGGCTTGATGTCCCTATGTACGACCACCGGTTTAACTCCTGGGATTGGAGTGTGCAGGTAAGCCACCCCTGCAGCTAGCTGGCGGCACATGAAGAGACCCTGAGCTGGTGTTATCCGCCGCTGGATCGATGGGTCGCGTGAGTACTTGCGGGAGTGCAGGTCGCTGCCGTCCGCCAACCTGGTTACCAGCCATACGTCAAACGGGCCGTGCACTATGCCTCCTACGAGCTGGACAATGTTTGGATGTCTACACATCAGAAGGATTTTCCACTCATTTAGAATCCTTTCCAGGACCCCCACAGCATCGCTCTTCAGCATTGCCTCAACTGGCACCTTAATGGCAACCTTGGACTCATTGTGAGACCCCACAAACACACGGCCGAAACTACCCTCCTCAATTAACGAATACAACAAACCTCCCCCTGCCAGCAAAGTTGAATCAAAAGTCACACTGCTGCTCAGCAAAGAAGAAGGCCCTTGCTGAAGCTCCATGAGACACTCCAGCAATTCCCAAAATCGATCTGTCCCATATACTGTCACCACGTCGGCGGGCGTATCTCCCTTGATCACTGGCCCACTCTCCTCCTTGCCTCGAGTTGCAGGCAGAGCACCAGGCTGCTCCAGCCCCCACGCTGCGGCTGCCGGGGCCTCGAGGCGAAGCCCTTTGGGCAATGGTGACAAACTCGAGACTGCCTCTACCTGTGGAGAAGGTTCCGTCCCGTTAAGCCCCCCCTCGCCTACATTGCACGGAGGCGTGTATGCCGTCAGCGACTGCTGCTGTACGGGACGCACAGTCGCAAAGGGGCGACCGTTAGCCGCTGAGCTCCAGCCTGATGTCCATGGAGCAGCATCTTGGTTCCTAATGCATGGCTTCCCGTACATCGTGCACCCCTCAGCCCCCTTGAATGCCTGAGGCGCCTGATGCAAGCCTTCAGGGCTACAGGGACACCCTGCGCACATGCACGAATCGGAGCAAAGACCTCTGGGAGAACCTCCTAGCAGGAATTTCCCTCCAAGGGGTCCGCTCTCAACAAAGGACTGTGCAGCGAAACGCTTTTGCTGCATCCACGGTGCCCCCTCTGGAAGCACAGGAGTTTCCTTCGGCGCTTGCTCGATTGCAAGTGGCGTCCATTGGGCCCCGTAGGGCGATCTGCTCTTTCGAAGCATCGGCTCCTGGCCTCCCCACTTGACGCCCCTCTCTGGCCGGCGCACGAAGGGGACAGGCGAGCTGCAAATCTTTTGAGGCATCCCCGCAGTTGCCAGCGGCTTCCCGCAAGGATGTTGGTTGCCTGGGACGAATGAACATGCCGCGGGGAAAGGACAGGGCTGTGGAGGCCCCCTGCTGCGAGATGGGGAGGGCACAGCTGGTGTCTTGCACAGTGCAGCTACAGCTGCCAGCTCGTACTTTGAGGGCAACTCCGTAGGAGACTGTCCTCTCGGCCGTCTCGAATTTGGCTGGAGAACAGCGCCGGCAAAGGGGCCTCTCTTGGCTCCACGATGCAGCCCGCCATCCTTCTCAGGACAATATATCTGCAGTCTGCTATACACCGGAGACACTCCTTTGCCCTGTCTCTGGAGGTTCTCCTCCATCGAGCTAAAACGGGGGCCTGGAAGGCCCCCTGAGGAAACGCCTACAGGAGAAACCCCTCTCATCCCACTGCCTGAGGTGGGAAAGTATTTGCAAGGTGAAGGGACTACAGCAACACCCCTCCCGAGGCCGTTGCCTGCTACCAACCCCTGAGGCCTTTCGTGCACAAAGGCTCCGGCCATCCGCCTGAGCAAAGGAGAGACCAGAGGCAGCTACCTGCACACGCTGCAATTGGTGAACACCCCGCATGCATTATAAGGGAGTGGGTTAAGCCCAAAACGATTATTTCACGCACGGGCGAAGCCTGCCTCCCGAGTCGCTCAGCCCGTCCACCACTTTGGGGGCACACAAACGCACACCCACCCCTCTACTCCTGATTTCTTGTGCGAGAAAATGCTGCAGCGCAAGATTCAGTACGAAGAGGGAGACGGGAAGAACTGACGGTTGGAGACACCAGACACGGGGGCGAGTGAGCCTGACCCGAGAAAGACAAGTGGAGACAATGGCTGGAGGCAAAACTAAAGCTCTTTAGTAGCCGGTGGATTCTTGGGCGTAGATTGAGGAAGGTAAACCTTCAAGAAGTTTAAACATTCGACGTGACAGCGCTCGGTGTCGAAGGTCTACGCGGAGGGGAACAGCCACGAAGCTTTCCCGAAAATTGTCACCTCTTCGAACTGCACATAAAGGGATTTTTAGCTTCGAAATTCAAAGGCATGCAAGCTAAAACGAAGCATGTCGATGGTGGGCTGTTAATCACCATCGGGAGAGCCCTCGCACAAGCAAGGACCGCTGCAGTGCACGTGCACTAGTGCGCTCTCGGTCCAAAGGGCCCTTGAGGGGTGCGCGTTCAGCAGGCATGACTCTATAAAACGATAGCTAGCTTTAGTAGAGAAGGTATATAGTAAAGGTCTTAAATAATCTTTAACGGAGGAGCCTCGGAACATGTCTTTTGGGGATTGAAGAGTGGATCTTGTCCGACGCGCTATCGAACCGCCGGTCAGGGGCTATACACAGTAGCCTCCACCCGGTTTGTTGTTTGCTGGCACTCATACACGCGTCTTAAAGGAAAAGAAAAACTAAGTGCAGGGTATGCCAGCTAGCTACCACAAAAAACCTTTCCAGCATGAGGTTCGCCCAACCTCGTGTCAGCCGTGCATAGTCAGCTTGCTGGGGCGCTGCACATCCGGCAGAGGAAAACTGCAGCTGTATATATTTGTTGAGGTGCAGATGTAGAACACATTTAGAGGGCATTTTATTGCAAATAGAGACGCGGAGAAGGACACAGCTATCTGCTTTCGTGAGCATCTGGTAGACAATGGCTGTGGTTTGTGGCCGGGCTAAATCCGCGTGCTCGATCGCTTTACAAAACACAGAGCCCACAAGTTTGAATTACTTGAAAGAAGGCAAGTAGTCACAAGCACAAGTATGAATTTCATGGTATTCATTGCACCCTCTAGCGCTGGCATATTGGTCCTAACCGTCGGCCGTGCAGTAACGCCAAGGCCAGGGGTCCTATATCCGTGATGTCCTGTGGACACTTCTAGCTACCCGATGGCTTGTACGACTTCTCCCATGAAGTGGAATGTCTCTACGGCGGACTCCATAGAGCTACATGCCATCCCAAGCTTGCTATCAGGTAGTATACATGCGCCCTCTGCGACGGATGTGATATCACCGGTCATATTTGATTCGATCGAAGGCTTCATATACGATGTTTGCTGCTGTTCCTTTCCATTTTTGGAGTATTGGCTTAGATCCATGTGATAAGCTTTCTGTGGGAGTGGAATTACCTGAACTGCTTATAAGGTCGAGCAACGTACATTGCAGTCGCCCTCTATCCTTCTACCCCATACTGATGTGGGCCAGCTAGACGGAGAGCCATAAGCTCTTCCAATAAGGGCATAATAGCTTTCTATTAAAAGTTGGTAGGCTTCGTGGGGCAATGAATTCTCAGTAGCGGTCTATTATAGCACTACGCAGATTTCTCGCCAAATGGATCGTACCGATGGAGCATTTTTCACGGGATGTTGTGGCCTTCAAGTAATACGAACTCTAAGCGAAAATGCTTTCTTGGTTTGGCACTTAACGGTGGAACTGAAGTAGAGACACCTGTGGCTCTGCAGCGCATTGAAGCTCAGCGCAGGCCTAACATGGTAGGGGTATGGTTTGCTCATATTCTTGTCCTTTTCGTTGCAGGGTAGTGCTACTTTCAAGCTCTTACAGTCAAAGCTGTGCTCTTGTGTGCTAAGGCACAATGCACAACCGCGTGTGCATGCTTTTAATTATCAGGGAGTCCTGCAGCGTGCACCCCAGTTTTCTTGTACCCCCTAACGCCATAGCTTTTGAATACAAATAGAAAAAGAAAACGCTGGCCGTTTGCGAAAAGCTCTTAATGAGATATCTTAAGTTTTGCCAGGGTTCTGCGGTGGGCTCGTTATGGAGATGCCTAATGACGCAACGGACTAAGCTCCTTTTAAACATTTTCACTATTGCAGCTATAGTGAAGTATGAATTGCTAAGGAACTAACTAATTGGCTAGCTTGTTCGTATATCTTTTTATAGTCGCAAAGTGGTTTTACCTCGGTACAAGAGAAATGCAGTGTTGTGTGAGTGTACACTACATCCCATTTGTAACGCATTGTTAATGTTCGGAATGCCAGGCGGGTGCAGCCGCGTACGCCTAGCTGTCTCTCTACCTTCATGTCGAGAACCAGCAGGGAGACGGAACACTTACGTGGGAAGCGTGTAAAAACTGAATATTGGTTTGAACTGAGTCTAGAGCCCACCAAAGTACGAGGTGGCCTTATAGGTTATAGCAACGAATTCAGAATCCAAACCACAAAATTTGGTGAGTAGCGCCGGTTCACGTGGTTAAAGAGCACAAGCATGTATGGCCCCACCAAGCCATGATAAGATCACGCTACTAGTTGTACGGCGGTGAATGCTTTTTGTCGAGTGCACTGGAGGTGGGAACTGACGATGCTCTGCCGAACACCAGTGCATCTGCTGAAAATAATTTAGCCCTCAAAGTAAGTGCTGGAGAAAAATGATCTGTTATCATTTATACCTCATTAAGATGGCATTCATGTGGGACGACACCTGAAGAGCCGAACCCGTTGCTGTTGCTTAACAAACAACTACACACGCCTCTTTTCTGCCCCCGGAAGCAGAAATATGTGAATTACTGTCCCTGTGTGGAGGTCTTAAGGTAGCTCTGGGCTATAAATTCTTCTTGTGGCTGTACACGGAGTGACGAAAGCGGAGGGGCGTCGACGCTTGCATTACATATAGAATGATCCTTAGCATATCGATTTCTTTATTTTCATGGCTATTAATAAGAGATTCGAAAGGCGGGGTGCTGTCTAGGAAGTGAACGACCGAGTCATAAGGAAATTCGGTGTCGTCTTCACATTCACAGCCATCTGGAATCGACGTTTACAGAGGGCATGACCGGCTTTCCTTTCTGCCCCTTTAAGCTTGCCTTCTACTCGCTGTTCCCTTCGAACAAATATGATACTTCTGGTTTTAATGCCTCTCCACCAAAACATCGAGTTTTTCAATAGAAAGCTCAGGGCTACCTGCTCGGTGTGGGGCTTGGGCTCCGGAGACACCCCAGCCGCTACATGGGCCTCCGTATCAGCCTATGAAGATTGAGCGCGAGTCCAGCATCGTGCAGACATACGGTTTGCAGTTTGGTGGTGCATGCATGCGGCTTTGGTTTAAAGCCCTTCCCCGTCTTCCCACGTCTTGCAGCTCGCTGCAGCGCAGTGCTGACCGATAAAAGGAAAATCGTTCCAGTGTTTTAGCGCCCTCCCGGTGCCCAGTGTCTTGGAGGGCAACTTGATGAGGCGGCCCCCTGTTAGACCCGAGAGCTGCGGCGCAACCTCCAGTTTCCTCGGAACTGCTTCTCAACAACCCTCAAGCCCAAGGCTCAAGAAACAAATGCGCAGCAGACTAGGGGATACCTACCATTGGCATGCGTCACTCTCCACCCCACTTCGTGCCCGCTGTCCTCTCGACTCTTGGGTGAAGGGCATTTGGTGCATTTAGCCGTGCTAAGGAAGGGGCCGGGGGCCCCTTTTGGCCTTGGACGCACGGGCTCAGGGCCAGAAATCCTGTCGCAATTTGCACTCACTCAAAGAAGATGGCAGCCATTCTGCCACGTTCTTTCTTCCAGTGGCTGCAGGCACGGCCGTTACGACCCTCAAGGCCTCTGGACTCGTGGCAGACGCAGTGCCGCTGCGCCTCCTTGGCACTGGGGAATCGCACAGACGGGGCACAAGGAAAAGCCGAAGGACGAAGAGAGAAGGGCTCTGAAGAAAGCGCATGCACATCTCTAGATGAGTTCTGGAATTTTAAAGGCAAGTGGGGGAGTGTGCCGCGCACTTCTTGCCTATGGCGCGTAGTATCTTTGTCTTGTAACACGGGAGGCTCTGCTCCTTTTGGGAAGATATATAAATGTATACATATGTATACGTATATGCGAGGAAGTAATCCCATAGAAGATATACCCGGCCGCTGACGCTTTGGAGGATAGCGAGAAACGAAAAGAGAGCAGTGCGCTTTTCGCAGGGGTGTGGTGTGCGTGCAAACGCCGTTTTTCTTCTCTGCTTTCCTCAGACCATCCCGAGTCTCGTGCAACGCTCCACATCCAGCGCCGCGCCGCTTTGGCACTTCCTCTCCCTCCCTTCCTCTTCGCACACCAAATCGTGAATTTCAGAGAACTGCAGAGCCTACAGCAGCGACAGGCACCTGTGGACGAAGAGGGGTCCTCATCGGCAACGCCTCCAGAGAAAGGCGGGGGGCAGGGGCCGAAGAAAGATGCGTCGGGCCGCTTGCGCCCACTGCTGGTAAACATCGTGGATAGCGAGGGAGGACAGCCCGTGGGCTGTGGTCTTTTTCATTGCCGACCGCTGATAGCTGTGCGGACTTTAGAGGGCCTCGCCCCCAGTCAGCCTCTAGACGCGGCGTACGTTGGGCAGAAGCTCAGGGAGGCAGCCGAGCGGCGGCGAGGACTGCCACGCGACGCTTTCTGCGAGGAGCGCACACCCGTAAGAGGAGGGAGAGTCGCGTCCTAGCGTTGCTGGTGATGCTTGTGCAGCTGTTGCGCTGGACAGAAGGCCAAATTGTGGAGGGAATGGGGGGTGGGGGCGGGCTCGCGGCGGGGCGCAGCTGGCGAGAACGCTAGAGAGGCCGCCAAACGAGAGCAGCTTTGTTTTAATGCGGCCGCTGCAGGCGCAGTCATCGCAACTCTGTTGCCTCTGGCCACACGGGGGAGGCCTTGCAGACGTGCTTGTGGATAATGTGCAATGCCCCCTCTTTTTCAGGAGAAACGCCTCAATGCAGACGCAGGGGTCCGAGATGCGGCCTCTCCAGAGGGAACCGGCGGATCCGCCCTTCGCTGGGGTTTCTATCGTTTGATTAACGGAGAGAGCGATGGCCTGCCTGGGCTGGTGGTGGATCTCTTTGGCGGGCATGTTGCTATTCAGCAGCTGACGCGAGGCAAGTGACTTTAGGGGTGATTTCACGTAGTTCAAAATGAGACACAGCGGCGGAGACCGCGGTTCCTGCTCCTGCTTGAGCAGGCCGTCATGAGCCCAGCTATTGCAGCTGCACCGCAGAACCGATTAAACAGAACTTTAGTGCTGCCGACGTCTTCTCTCCTCGTCTCACTTTCGCCGGCTCGCCGCGCGTGTGCGCCTTGGGGTTGTCGCTGACTACTGCTCGAACCCTCCTTCATTGCGGTGCAGGGAGCGAGCTGCTGACTGTACCCTTGCTGGAAGCGCTGCAGGAGGCCCTGCGGCCGTTGGCAGTCGTGCTAAGGAACGATTCCCTCCAGCGCCAGCTTGAGCGAGACTCTACAATGCAGCAATATACTGCTGTCTTAGCTGGTCCGTCTCTTTCTATCCTACTCCGCGCGCCCAGCCTAAGTAGAACTGCCGAGTTCTGTGCCCAGGGGCCCTCGCTAAGCACTCTCTAGTCGCCTGCGCCTCTTTACCGCTCAGGAGAAGTCCAGGGGTGGCAATGGATCGAGGAGGGCGGAGTCAGGTTCCCAGTCGACATCTGCAAAGGCCATGAGACTGGCAAGTGCCCTTATACCGTCTACATCTCGGGGCCCCGGTGCGCCGCCTCTCCTGTCGGCATGCCAGCACCTGTATCGCCTCCATCACGACTCTATGGCTGCAGCTTGCAGCCGGTCCTCCCTCGTGCTCCCCCTCTTTCAGCAGCGCCAAGTTGGCATGTGCAGCTACTGGCTAAACTCCGCTCTTCAGCTGAGCCTTGTTGCTTCTTCCTTCTGGGCGGTCTCCTGTGGATGCCTTCGCAGGATGGTATTACGATCGCAGAGAGGCGCGTGAGGCCGTAGCACGCCTTTCCAAGGGCGCCAAGATTTTGGACTTGCATTGTCACTCCGCAGGTAATGCATGTGCTCCCCAGTAGCCTGTGGATCCTTGCGAGGTAGCGATGCCGCGCAACATATAACCGGAGCAATTGGCGAGTAGCGTGGCCGCGCAAGCACGCACTTCCGGATTAGCCCGTTCCTGCACCAAATAGCTGACTAGAACGCGGCTCTGGTGCTTGGAAATCAATGGACGAGCCTCACTGGAGGCTGCTTGCCTTCTCTGACTTGAAGACGAGAGTTGTTGCAGTTCCTGTGGGCCTACGCGCAGCGTTCAGCGTTGGGGCGCTGCAGAGGGGAGGCGCGCGCCAGGCTGTTTGCGTTGATACCTCTCCTTTGTCTCTGGGACTGGCGGAAGCAGCAGCGGCGGCAAACAATGTGCAGCACCAGGTGTCGCTGCATCAAGCCGATGCGCTGGAGTGGCTGCTTCGACAGGCAGGAGAGACGCAGCCGGATTCTCAGGACAGCCACGAAGGTAGCCAAGTCACTGCTTCCGCAAGAGGCCAAGATGGTGAGTTTCACCCCCACGTTTTCGCCCGGGGTCATCTCTGTCCACGGTGTAGCAGAGGCTATGGCCGTTCGTGCATTGTAGCTTTGACAACGCGGGGGCACAACAAACCGAGCTACGATTTCTCCGAGTTCACCATTGGGGGCTCTCCAAAGATGTTCGAGTCTGATCAAGAAACGAAACATCGCGGCTGGACCCCACAGCAGTCGCTATTGCTGGTGCCTCCGGCTCTGCGGGGGCTGCTGCTTTTATTGTGGTAGTCCACTTTTGCGGCATCTCTGTGCCTGTTCTACTACCTTTTTTGTTCCTTTCGCTCCGCTCTGCCTTCCTTTCCGTAGAGTTTGACGTGGTCATAATGGACCCTCCTTCGCCCCATCGCCGCAGCCTGGTGCCTGCTTTCACGGCTGACCTGCAACAGCTCGCTGCTGCAGCGGCTTCCCGGATCAGCAAGGGAGGACGCCTGGTAGTCGTAGATAGCAGCAGATTCCTCGAGCTGCAGCAGCTGCTCGAGCTGCTCGCTGGCTCCATCGCAACGGTAGGAAGAACAGGTGAGCCCCCGAACCTGCGTGTTACCCCTCGTGAGGCCACCACAGACCTCAACTCGCTAAAATGCCTGAACCCGATGCGTCAGCATGAATGGCCGGCGAGAGCTCTGGATACCCCACAAAGAAAGAGAGACCCCGTCTTTGCAGCGACTCACGGGCAGCTGCCATAGACAGAACCCGTGTCTGTTGTTTCGATACCATGCCGCTGTACAGCGACTGCATCAGTTCGTGACGTAGCATTTCTGTCTCGCTTTCCACCTGGTGTTTTTGTCTAGCTATCTATCTATTTTTCTGAGCCATCTCGGCGTTTCCAAACTCGCAGCTTCTCTATCTCGGTGTGCTCCCTGTGCAGCCGTCATGGAGATGCACGGGGGCCCTTCTCTGGACTGCCCGCAAGATCTGCGGTCCCAGGGGCCAGTAGGGATGAATTGGGTGGTGTTGCAGCTCGTGTAGATATCAATGAAAGGGCCTGGAATGCGGGTGACCTTGCTGGCCCCTAGTGTCACGCAGCCAGCCTTCGAAGAAGGCTTCGGGACCCACAGTGTGCCCTCTAACGGGTGCTGGTATTCTGAGACAGGCTTTCAAAGGTAGCAGGACGGCTGAATGCCTGCCGATAAATATAAGGAGCAGTTGTAAGCCGCTTGCGTAATCTAGGCGTGCTCGAGAAAGTTCGGCATGCCCTGCTTCTATGCAGCAGCAGAGGAAACACTCGCTTGTCGCTGTTTGTCAGGTGCCCATAGCGCAGCTGAGGGCTCTCCGTGAGCCCCCGTGAGCTAGTGCCACGAAAACAAGTATGTGTTTTCCTGGCGGGGAGCACGGAGTGGAGAAGGCCTGTAGCAGCCCCCCGCATGCCTACGAAAGGCGTGCTGTGCCCGAGTGCCTTCTGATAATTCGAACAGTGTGGTCTAGGAGGAGGCAGCATATGCTCCGAGGCAGTGCACAGCCGTACTAGCAGAAGCACGAGATACGAAGCCCTCACGACTTGTGCACAGTCATCTGCGCTGAAGTCTTAATACCAGAGGCGAATACTCGTTTCGTTTTAATGCCTCTGGACGTGTGGCTACTTCCGTCTGCCGTTGCCTCAACCTACACCCTCATGTAGCGCTCGCCCCTAAGACGCCGCGCCTCTCTGTAGGGTTGCTGCTTCGTGTGAGATGTCGGCTCTTACCGGCACGAATAAACTCGGTGCTTCTGGGCAAAGCATCATACTATCGTATTTCAGGCGCAGCCCGCCTCGTTCTGTCTGCACGGGGTTGCCAACCGCGGCAAATACCTCAACACAGCCTCAAAACTTCTGCGTGGCGCCTTTTCTACCGCCCCTTGCACGAGACTCCGTGTGATCTCAGGCCATTTCGATGCTAATTCGACTGCAGGCCCGGCGACCGTGTCTAAAGCAATGCTAACCAGGCGCCGGCACACGGCGCTTTCGGTACCTGGCTCGCCCTCTCAAGCTCGGCCTCAAAACTCACTTCTCGCCGGCTTCTACCCACGATATATTTTCAGCTGGAAAGCACCTCATTCCGGGAATCGCCGCCTCCCTGGGAGCGGCGGGGCGTTTCGTGAGCGAGGACTGGAGAAGCGCCCAACCAAGAGGAACCGTTCTTCCAAAGGATGTTTGGAAAGCCGCAGGCCCTTCTGCTTGCAGGACACAGTGTTTGCCTCAAGAATGAGGTGAATCCTCAAATATTGAATGAAGATTCGGGAGCAGAAAGCCGAGGAACGACACCGGCGCGGCGGGGCTGCCACCAGCCGCAACACTGTAAATGCAGCATTTAACATCGGACGAGAAGCTGCTGCGGGGGAAGCGCGACCCTTCTGCACCGCGCGACCATTATTTTTTTTCGGGTTTACTTTTTGACTCCTCTGGAGTCTCAGTGCCAGTTTTCCTCCTCCAACGCGGGCGTTTGCTGTTGCAGGAGCAACGGCCGCGGCAGCGCAGCACCAGCAGCTTGCCCGCTGCAGCACGAAGCCTTTGACGCGCGCCAGGCGTCCAGGGGACATCGCACACCAGACTCGTCTGCTACGATTCTCTGGGGTGACACAGTATCCTGAGAGGCAGAGGGCAGCAACGCGTGAACGGAGATCGGAGTTAGCAGATCACCGATGCCCGCTAGGTCACAGCGATCCAGAGCAAGAGACACTGCGCAAGCAATAGGCACGCGCTAGTGAGCCAAGCCCAGTGTTTTCTGCGCAGTTCAGTCCACGAGGAGGCGCTACCCTGTGTGCAGGCCGCGGTTGCGCCGACTACGACATCGTGCCACTAAGAGGCGCCTTCTCACACCACTCTGCCTGCTACTCCTTCGCGTCGGCATACCCCCGTCCGCGCTTCCTTCTCTCCTCCCTGCTTTTTGGTCTTTGTTGAGCAGTCCCTACAGTGCACTTGGGGCGAAGAGGGCACCAACGGCCGGTAGATATGTTTGCAGCTGCTCGCTACCCGAGGCATTGCGCCCCCGCATTTTTTTTGAGGGACTGGTGAACTCGTCTTCTGCAGGGTTCACAGTTTATAAGGCTCCGCCCGCTGCGCTCAGTCTGAAGGGGGATAGGCTGCGGAGAAGCTGCTTCTGGCTGCCCATGCTCAGCCTTCGGAAAAGACTGTTCTCCCCCGCCGCCCCGAAGCGTGACACCCTGCCGGCTTAGAGCTTTTTGCGCACTCTCTAGCGGGCTCTACCCAAGACAGAGAATATAGCAATACACTTGTAGTCTTTCTATGTCAATCCGTCTATCCTTTCCGATATTTATCTGTGTATCGCCGCTGCGCTCCGTGGCTCCTTCTCCCCGTGCATCGTCTTACATTTGTTTCCCGTTCTCTCCGTCCTGGCCCTGCGTTGTCTGGTCGGTATACTTCGCTGTCTGAGTGCTATGAAGACTCGGCGAGGCACGACGCGTGATGCGAGCGATTATTCTGGGGGTTAGCGTCTGGCTCCCGCATGAATGAACGAGCATTTGCAGCAGGAACACCAGCAGTAGCAGCAAGCGGAAGGGAGCGGAGAAGGGAGGCTTGTCAGGTGCAACACATCTGCGAGGCTAACAAGCAAGACTGCGCGTCTTTGCTTGCGCTCTAAGGTGTCTGCAGCCTGTGGGATGCTCACCGCAGCTGCACACGCACGCGTGCGTAGGAACCCTTTTTCCTCTGCTTTGCGGTACACTCCACTTGGGCACTATGAAGCCAGCTGGACTTTCTTTAGGAGAGCGCGGGTTGCTCCGGGAGGCAGTTGAGGTTCTGCCTGGCCGCCTCTACTACCGGAAGGCTGTCTTCCCCCCACACGACACTCCCGCTATTCATTTTTTCTCGGTAGACAAGCTCTTCGTCTACGAGCCCTTTTTCTTAGACTTTGGCCCTCTAAACCTCTCGTGCATTTTTAAGTACTGCAAAATGATCAAGGCCATGGTGAGTAGTCTCCAGGCGGGGAGGTAGCCTACTGCCATACTGCTCTGCCAAGCTAGGATTGACAACAACCCGTCCTGCCTAGAGGGTGTGCCGTACAGGCATGTGTGCAGCGAGATGTTCACATAGACGGGGAGAACGGGGGAGACGCCAACAGTGTTGCGGGTGAAAAGTGTTGTATCTCAAAATGCGCATGGCACCCACGCTCAAAGGGGCGTCTAAGAGTCTGTCGGCGGCTGCGAAGTTGTGGTTCTGCGGGTGCAGCTAGTGAATTCCACGTTGCGACGGAAGTTGCTGGTGCACTATTCGGCCTTCTCCCAGGACAAGGTGGCCAACGCAGTGTTGCTGCTTGGCAGCTTTTTATTGATCGAAATGAAGAAGACGCCGGAGGAGGCTATGAAGCCTTTCTCGGAGCTGAGTGGCAGCCTCAAACCTTTCCGAGATGCCACATACTCGGGTTGTGACTTTGAACTCAGCGTTCTGGACTGCCTGCGTGGCCTGTCCTACGCCATGCAGGTGTGGATGACAACCTGCTGAGGAGGCGCTTGTTTGAGGAGTGTGCAGCTGCTGCCGTTCTGAGCCTCGGTTTCCAGGCCCCTCTAGCTCACTCAGAGCTTTTGCAATAACGACTCTCACCATGGAAGGGGTTGGCGCCTTCGAGCTCAGGGCTCTTGAGGTGCCTCAATCTCTTTCTCGCTCTGCGCGCGCTGGCTGCGGTTTGCGTGCAGCTGAATTGGTTCAGTTTGTCGACTTTTAATCAGGAGGAGTATGACCACTACGAGCGTCTGGAAAACGGTGATATGAATTGGATCATCCCAGGCAAGTTTCTCGCTTTCAGTTGTCCTTCGATCGGAGGGGCGGCCATGAGTGCTCGGAGAAGCGGCGACGGCGAGGGCAGCGGTTGCTGCATGCCTTCCCATCACGTCAGCGTCTTCAAAAAGCTCAACATCAAGCTTGTCATTCGGCTTAACAAGAAGATGTACGACGCACAAGTTTTCAAAGACGCAGGAATTGCGCATTACGACCTCTTTTTCGTGGATGGTACTTGCCCCCCTCGGTGCGCCCGAGCACACCTCGCATGCCACTTTCCATATATTCCCGCGTGGAATGCCGTTCCCTTGTCTTTGAAAGTGCTCAACACAATTACGCATTGCCAGCCGCCAATCGCGCAGGGGTAGCTGTTGGTCGTGGTCCGTAGAGGAGGATGAGGTTGTCTTGCCCCTGCAGAGAGGACCGAAGGGAACGTCTTCTTCTCTTAAGGGCCTCCTCCTCACGGGTTCTCTTTGTCTTTTTCTGTTTCATCGTGGTGTGGATGTGCATGCTTGCTGGTGCATGTTCACCCTTAGGGATATCATGGATAAGTTCCTAGAACTGTGCGAGTCTTGCGACGGTGCCGTGGCCGTTCACTGCAAAGCTGGCCTTGGACGCACAGGCTCTCTGATTGGCTGCTATGCAATGAAAAACTACAAGTGCGTCTTGCCGACTGTATCCAATTCTCAGACGTTGCTCGTGAGGCGCCGCGGGTAGAGATCATATATATATTCACACGCACCCACAAAAGACACAGCATACGCAACACAACTTAGCCGTGGTGTTAGTACTACGTCTATACGGCTACATCTATATGTAATACGCGATCGTTCAGGTTTCCGGCACTCCCGTGGATTGGGTGGAACCGAATTTGCCGGCCGGGCAGTGTGCTTGGTCCCCAGCAGTACTTTCTTTGCGCCATTCAGGTGTGTTGTTACAGCCCATGTGCGCCTCCCGCGTAGACTGTTGTGTAGCTGTCATTGCGCAGATGCCAGCAGGGGTGGCGGCGCTATCACCGATTAATGATGCATGGCCGACCAAAAGGAGGGGGCAGAGGCGGTGACGAAATACGGATGCTGTTGATACCACAAGCTCTTCATTCAGCGTATTAATTTCATCTCCGTTGCATTGCTCAGGATGAATTAATGCAGATGGATGCCATTGAGAGCTGTCGTCCCTTGCTGCAGAAGCGGCCCTCTAGAAAGCAGACTTCTGTGGACGGAGTGGACGCCTTGGCGGTCAGCTTGCAGGTGCGGGTGTAGGAGGTGCAGATCTCCCGCATATACTCTTCCCGAGGGTTCAGGCTCCTGCGGGTGATGCAGACTGAGCAAACTAGTTGTACACTTTGGTGTCTACAAACGGTTTGGTGAGACGTAGATGCGCTTTCTGGGGTGTTTTGTGCTGGCTTCAGGATATGCGATTGGAGGACAGACGAGTTGCAGAGCTCGGTGACGAAGGACAGGGTGATCGTCTGATGGAAGCCAAGAGGTACGTGTGTCTGAGAAATCTACATCTATGCACGCGTACGAATGAGGCATCTATGAATGCGAACTGCCTGTTGGCAAGACGGCTAATGGATTGGCTGTTATGTGGATGCGATGTACTGCTCAGGCGGTCGAAGCCGGCACCGCAGGTGCAGTCGTCTGGCCCGCGGCAACTGCAAACTTCCATTTCCTTGCGAGAGAGGACTACACCAGGAAATAAGGGCCCTATGATCGCTCTATCGAGGGATCGCTCATCTTCGTCGTCTTCCCACGTGGATCTGCTATTGCACAATAAGTTCGTTGGGCATCTGCTGACTCCGATTGCAGCTTCTGCCGTGGCTGCACGAAGGCCTCCTAGCAAACCTTGCCATATCCCTGCCGCGGGAGGCCCCTCCGGCATGTGCGTAGCCTCGGGGTCTAGGCCCGCCAGCAGTCGTTCCCGCAACGACGTTTAAAGGCATACTTTTTGCAACACAGTGGAGTAGAGTGCACATGTGCACGCAATTGCTTGTAATCATGATGATCATCGCATCGTCGAGGCCTTCACCGCCCAATGTGTGCGTGTCTTGGACAAGACAGACTCAAGGCCACCGGCCCTGAGCCTGTGCTGGCGGTGATGTGCAGTGTCGGTAACCCGACTTAAGGAAAGCGCATGCAGGGCGGTGCGAAATTTCGCACGCGACCGAGTGCGCGCGTTTTTAAAAAGTGAATAGACGGCAAGGCCCATAGCGTGGCTGAGCCTGTTTGTCATGAATGGAAGCATCATCGGACTTCTTTCCCGCACCGCTGCAGAGGCATGTTTTCTGCGTCTTCGTGCACTATGGCACAGAACGCGCGTGAAATGCATGCGTGAGCTTGGGGTACCGTATTGCAGTGGATTTGCTTCGCTGTGTCTTGTGTTCAACCCATTAATCGGGGTTATCCAGGAAACATGCGAAAATATGCAGTGTCCGGGTCGTGAGGAAGCCCATGTGCAGCCAGTTGCAGGAACTGGAGATAGAGCAGCGCAGAGAGCCTCCATAACAGCAGCAACCTACGTAGGTTGCCTGCTCGTTCGCTTTTAGGCATTCCTCTGTCGGGCGGCTTGAGAATCACGTGCAGGCTCTAGGCCCACCGTCAACCCCTTTAGCACGCCGCCGGTCTGCCGAACCAGCTAGCCATACGCATACTCGAGTCTGCACCCGCTAAGATCTGCACGGGTCAACGTGCGGCACCTAACCTCCTTTTGGAGTCGCTTTTTAAGGCAAAAATCACCGATTCGAGTCGGCTGTTTATACGAGAAAACAGGAAGGGTGTGCTTCCGTTGGAAACAAGAGGCGAGTTGGGCTGCCTGGAGAGCGCCGGATCATGGCAAATGCAGATCTCAAAACTAGCACAGAATTGCCTATTATGGCCTTAATATCCGTTCCCGAATTTTTTCCATTCGCTGACTCTTGGCGCGCTCTAGATATCTGTCGGCCGTCAGCAGGAGGGAACTGAGATACTGCTCAACAGTGTCGACGCCTCTGAAACAAGGGAAGAGTGTGCAGCGGGCTAGATTTCTGCACGGGAGGGGCAATCAGGACGACTTTCGTACAGTGCAAGAACTTCAGAGGTCGTCTGTGCGTCATCGTCTTCTCTGCAGTTGGTAGGTACCGCTGCCATTTCCACATCCATTGCATACCCTAGGTCTCCCAGGCCTGGAAGGACAGTCAATGAGTAGATCAGGAGGAGGTGCAAGCTGCGCAGCAGCTTCATCTCACCAGCACAAGATGCTCACCTCTTGTGGGCAGACCAGGAAGGTGTGTATGTATAGGCAGCCGCAGCACCGCTTACCGAGTTCGGCATCATGATACAGAGGGTAAGACTTGATCGTGCCGGTAAAGGAGTCGCGGAGTTGGACTTGCCGGGAGCTGTTGTGCATAGCGTTCACGTCCGTCCTCTTGTATTCAATGAGCCGCAGCGGGCAACCTACGTGGATAAAAGGGAGCTGCAGGTGGTTGATGCAATACGAATGCCTGAAGATCCAGAAACTAAGCCCGAATGGCATAAATACTGCTTCTTGATAACCAAAGCAGTGTGACCCTACGAATAGGAACTAGTACGCGACGCTGATCCCCACCGTACGCAAAGCCACATGCTTCATGAGTTCTTAAATAGGAAAAGAAACAATAAATACCTGCATCTCAATCACACTACCAAGAACAATTTCATACCTAGCAGAAGTTATGCTTGTCGCTGACGGAGGCGGGTGTTCTTCATGCGGCTGTTCCGCCTGGGTATCGGGAAGAAGACTACTCGAGGAACAGTGTATATTGGAGCACAGCTACACTGGCTACTGGCATACTGTGGTGTATCATTTGCCTCTCTGTGTAGTTCTGAGTATTGACGTGCACTGTCAAGCTCCCCAAAATGAGCTTCAGCCTCTACATGAGTTGCTGATTCCTCATCCATGTACACTTCAGCATTTGAAAGCGATGCCGCCCGTTTCGAATGGCGGAATGCCAGATGGAGGCTGCGTTTTTTCTGGTGATCCCTGTTGGAACGTGCCAATCGTCTACGAATCTCCCATGCTTGTAGCTTGTTAATCTTGTGAGCGATGCTTGCAATCATTTCCCGTATCTCTGACTCTCGCTGCCGCCAGTCTACAGAAGACGCCCACGATTGGGTACATCTCAGAGATTGCATGCATTGGATGGAAAGGAGACTTTTTGCCATTGCTGGCTAGAGAATGGGCACGCAGCCACTTAACGACTGCAACGAGCAGCGTGCAACGGCCCAAGGATTAATTGACGAGTCCGATAGGTAAGCCTAAGGGGATCTTACAAGGCGCTAGTACCGAGCCCGGAGCAGCAGTGAAATTTGAACGCGGGGTATGAACAGACTTCTTCGACAGTATTGGGAGAGGAGACGAAGAAATCGAACGAATCATGATATGCTTTTATTGTGTCGCACGTACATGCGGTAGGAAGCTACATACGCTAGTGCAGGTGTATGTAAAGGCCACGTGCCATGAGCTCTGAGCACTACTTCAGTAGCAAGCGTAAATGACTCGTGCCTTGCTGTTTAGAGCTGCATTCTAGTCGAATACTACGCATGGCTTCTCGGAAACGTACGAGTTGGAGCACATTCACGAGCCTGAAGCTTTAAACCAAGCGAATGGATGAACTTTCAAAAGATCAGAAGAGAAGGACGATATAAAAGGGCTTACTTGTTCTCCACGCGCCTCTACCGCTCAGAATCGTTGCTTCTATCACTGCCGACATTGTCGAATGCGGTGCTTGCGTCTGTCGGCCGACCGTGGGCAAGTGATCGTGGAGGGCCACACCAGGCCTCTCTGCCGCCCATTGCTTTTACAGCAATGACTCAAGCTAAAGTAATTTGCTTCAAATATCATAGTACATCGCTTCTTCCTCGTCTCGGAAGCGCCCAGATGTGTGTGGCACCATGAAGACCTCCCGAAGCCCCTCGGTCTCGAGCCCTTGCGTCTATTGTCTTTGCCGTTGCCGGGCGCGTTAGCTGGGTACCATATCCGCGGTTTACAGCCCTCTGCGATTCCCTTGCAATTAGAGAGTGAGAAACTCTTATAGCTATGACGGGCCGCTGAGGGCTGCTTTTCCGTCCTCTGCTGCCTGCAGTGTACCTCTCGAGTGCAAGACGGGCGGGTAACTTCCCTGCAACTTTCCATGCGCAGCCCTCCGAATGTGGAGACAAAGGTGGATAAGCCACCTGCTACCATCAAGCAGTTTTCTCTTGGCAAGCAGGACTTCCCTTGCTTCTGTTCCCGTGGTGTCAACGTGCATGTTGGAAAGCCTGACCCCGTGGAGCTGCTCCTCACATTTCCGTTGCCACAGGCACCAGTGCGCGCTTCATACCGTGCGAAATCTTATCCGAAGCGCTTCACGGCAAGGCTGTCCAGTCTCCCCACAAAAACCGAAAGACAGCCAACGAGGGGCTCGGAAGCTCGATCCGTTGTCCATCCTACATGCCGTAGGGCTAGAGTCTTACAGTGCACACAGTGCTGCTTGGTCCCGTTTGGGGCTTATAGGGGCCCTTCGGCTTAATGAGGGCCCTCGAGCCCACGGACTCTATGGCACTTCACTTCGCCGCTTGATCTTCTTAGTATCTGATGCAGACACTGCGCAGCTCTGGTATAAGAACAAGTCCCTAAACCCGCGCAGGCAATTCGTTGGGGGGTGCCACACGGATAGAGGCATGAATTTTGCGATACTGCGTAGCTCATGAATTCGTTCACGCCTGTAACAACTTACCAGCCAGTCGACCAGTAAGCACATTCGGCAGCTCGTTGCGCCCGGTGTGCTGTCAACCTTCAGGTCACACAAGCTGGCTGCATGCCACGCTCAAGAGTCTCCATTATTGCTAAGCGTTGACTTAGAATGGGCATTTCCTGCTGTCTCTTCGGAACGATGCAACGATGGACATTCCGTCAAGGCTCCGAGAGCCCAGGTTTCGCTCCTGCAGGTCTGTGTGGAGAAGCTAGGGCCTAGAGAAGGGTGGCCGCCGTCTTTCTGCCATGTGCAGCCTCTCGATCCCCCCGAAAAACGGTGCGAGGGAGCTGCGACCTTGCAAAAAGGCGCCACTCTGTCTGCTCCACTTGCGCCTCTCTCATCGACTCGTGCGTGTGGTCCCCCTGCACCACTAGGAGCCGATTCCACGTGTGTCATTCACGAAGCAGCCGTTTCTGCAGCAGTTGCGGCAGCAGTTAAAATAGGCTTTGTGGGCCTTTTCGACCTGAAACCCGCGCCCGACAGAACCGTTCAACATCTTGGCGCACTGCTGCAGAATCCAAATATTCCTAAAGTCGTGAGGCTGCATGCACCTGCCCTCAAGAGCGATCCCACCATTCGTATCTGTAACACCCTAAAACACAAAAGGCGCAACGACAGACCTACAAAGGTTGTTTTCGTTCATGCCAAGCTGCGGTCCATCGGGTGTACTACTGTGCCAACACCAGTGTTCCCCGGCGAAGGCTGCTAAGAAAAGCTTCAACATGCGCATTTTTGCCCATAAACTTTCCGCAGATGCATGACTGTCGAGAAGACAGCGCGATTTTGCACGCCTGCTTTGGAGTTCATCTAAAGAGCGTTTTCGACTCCATGGTAATCAGCAACATGCACCCGACAGAGAAGTAACTAGTTAACAGCCACCACAACTGAGTTTCCATCTAGATGCTTGTTTTTCGTGCACCCTACATTCCTACATGCAGGATGAGAGGCCCACCTAATCGCCGATGAAGAGGCCTTCGGGGTCCTCAGTATGGCCTTAGAAGGCCTGCTTGGACATGTATCTCAAGTGGTTGTTGTTTCAGTTGAGACACTGTCATGGTGTATACCTTCCCTGATGAGGTTTCTCTTTGCTTTGACTTCTTCTGCTGAGGCACTGGCAAGTTTGTGGATCACACAGATTTGAAAGGAACAGCTTTTGTTGCTTTGTTCGCGCCGGTGTGCTCCATGTTGCAGGTTGCCGCGCAGGTGCTGCAGCGCTCGCGGGGATGCGAAGAGTTTCAGCAGAGCCTCAACGATTTGCTTCTGGAACAGCTTGGTGTTGCGTGAGTTCTCCGTAGGCGCCGTCTAGTTACCTCCAAGACACTGCGCTGTAGCGTCAGCACTATATGCAAAACCCACTGCACATGCAATGAACCGAGATCTCTTGCTTGAGGGCCTGGTGCTGCTATCATGTCCCCAAAATTATGTATACCCTGTTTTCCCCATATTCTGTTGTCAGTGAAGCGTTCTGCGATGCTGTGGATTTTAGCGGTGCTCATGAACGTGAACCGCGTGCTTACTTATCCTGTTTCTTTGCCATTTCAGCAATCCCCTCAAAGAGCGCACGGTCCAACTTCTCAGGCGTGACCCTTACATTTGGCTGTCGCGGCCTCTTCCTCAGGTATCCGCAGAGCCAAGAACAGCCCTAACCAGTTCCTCACTTTGGCGGCTGCACAGTTGCTCTAAGTAGAATTTGTCCGCTGTGCCTGAAATGCCCCTTCCTGTGGCCCACCCTATAGCCTTCAAGGCTACGCTGTTTCTCTGAGAGGTAGCCGTGTGTTATGTGCCCCATCCAGACACAAGCCATGTAGGCTGGGTCTTTCTATGCATGAGCCGTGATAGTCTTAAAGTGTTTGTCTTCGCGCTGTTTAAGAAGCGAAACATGCTACGTTGGCAGGAGTGATGCGTAGCAAGAGCAGCCTGCTTGTCACTTCGCGATTTCCACATGCACCTCTGACTGATCCAACAAATCCCCAGACGTCTGTTCATATCTTAGATTTTAAAAAGGTCTTGTAGACACTTTGGAGCGCACGAACGGGGCAGTATAGATGTGCTGGTCGTGGCCACAGGTTTTGCTGGAATACGCAATACACGACGTTCTCCATCTGCCAGCAGCGAGCCGATCACTGAGACGTTCCATGTGTTAGTGGGCACCATCTACAAAGACTTTTAGCAGCAGCAGCTCCCCGTTCATGTGCTTCAGCCTTTGAAGCTCAGGAGGCTAGCATTGACTTGCTAGCCTCCCGAGATTCTTGCTGTAAATGGGAACCTCTGCCGCGCAGGTTCTCTGTATCTCAGTGCACCACAATCTTGAATCCGTGCCGTTCCATATTTAACTGCTGGCCGGCAGGCAACAGCAACTGCGACTCGGCCACTTATTCTCCTTCCCTCTCATGTGTTCAGCCCCTGCTATAGAACGCCGTTCATTCACTCTTCTTATTCGCTGCACGCTGGTCTTTAAGACCCATCTCGGTGCCTGTCCCTCACTCGCGTATTAGAGCCATCTTCATGTGTGCTTGCTGTTCCTTTTGTTGGCTTTACCCTTGCGCTGGTCGCTACGACTTTGTGGAATACATCTTGTCTCAAAGTAGTGCGCCGCCACGTGCCTTGGCCCACACATCAGTGTGCTCAGTTCCCGCTGGTTCCTCAGACGCTGTTAACCGCACTGCCAGAGACTGGGTCGCATTTGCCCCTCCTACACTTTCCTGGATTCAATCTGTTGTCTCTCGCGTGTCTTTGTTGTGTATCAGCCGCTGCTCAAGAAGCAGAATGCGCCACAAGGAGTGCGCTGCATGCGGACTATTGTCTACTAAACACAACATCTTCAGCAGAACCCACTGGCGGGGCCCCAAGGGCCGCCAACTATCTCGGCAATGACAGGCCTCCCCAGGAGGGGTCTGCTAAAGGCCTCGCAAAGGCAGACGAGATGCCGCACAGGCGTCCTAGCGAAGATAGGCAAGGCCACCTTTCCGCCTGCAGTCCACCGCTAGGTGACCTTCAGGGGGAGGAGGGCCCACCCCTAGAAGCTCCAGCAGGCAAAGGACAGGCCAAAAAGCCTCCTGCGAGCCTCAAACCACTAGAGAAAAAGCGCATCCCAGCCCCAGGGTGCGAAATAGAAGGCCTGGTGGCAGTTGCTGGGCCACAGCGCCTGTTGCTTAAAGTGAACTTGGGGGACCCCCGACTGGTGGCGATTGCCGACGCAGCCGAAGCGACTGCGTGCCTTCGCAGATCATGTAAGTTCCCCGAATTCTCGGTCTATTGGCCGTCATTGAGTAACAAGTATGACGCATTCGGCGGTTATGTACGTGAGGCCCCCGGAAAGGCCCCTTCCCCGGACCCCTTGAAACACCGTGTCTATGTGCAGCATATGCAAAGGCAGAACGAATGAAGAGCGCCACACAGACAGGGATTGAATGATAGGCACGCAGTTATCGCGCTGATGGCGAGATGTGGAAGGAAATGCGGGTCTGGTGATTCGGTTGCAGCCCGTGTTGGGGAGAAACTTCGGCTGCTGGTGAGGGGCCGGCACCCGCGGACCAAGGCCCTGATCGTCAGCGTGTTGCCCTCGTAAGAAGACAGCGCATTTTGCGGAAGAAAACGGCAAGTGAAAAGACTTGTTCTTCCACACGTTCGGGCCCGCGGCTGCTCTGCCCTTGGGAAACGACACATGGCCGCCTGCCCCCCAATTCGCATGCAGCAATCGTTGCTGTAATGTATACGCTGCTGCTAAACTCCGTAAGAGCCTCCTGGAGGGACATACCCCTAGGCCTCCTGTGGACGAGCTGTTCGGTATCGTTTCGGGCGGAAAGCCGCAGCATAAGCAGCATCTGTGCTGGGCAGTTCCCCAGCAGGCTATTGTTCCTGTCCCTGCAGTGTTAGGGGTCCCTCTACCCTTGCACTCCTAGCTTCATCCTTGCAAGAGAGCAGATCCGGCCGTGCCTTTAGGGCTTCCGCCTCCTCCAAAAATATTCCCCATCCCTGATAAGCAACAGAGCGACGGCAAGCAAACGGGATGAAGGGCAGCACCTTAAGAGACAACCGAACACACCGTCTGTACGCAGCCCTCCGATCCTCAAGTCCGTGTTTGCACGAAGCACTGCCAGGAGGACGCCCCCGCTACGCTACCGGGCTTACCTGCTTCTTTGACGGTTTGGCAATAAACAGCCATCCACCCATCTCCGGCTGAACAGAGAATCCACGCAGAGCCCCCAAGCCTCGACTATTTGAAAGTCAGAAAAGGAAGCTACGGGCCGAACTCCGCTCTCTGTCTCTGCGTCTTTTTCGTGAGGCCTTACCGGCTTTAATAAAACGTCTGCGTCCGTCTCTAGCAGTTCGTTCACCTCCAGCAGTTCTCCTACACAGACGCGAACCCCCCGCCCCTCGCATGCATGCAAAGCTGCATTTAGACCCTCGGGCCCCTCTAGAGCTCTCACACCGGATACAATTACTTCGGCCCCTAAGCACTTGTAGGGACTCAAAAGGCACTCCCAAGCGGCAGAAAAACGTTGTGTACTCCAGCAAGCCCCTCACCCGTTATGCATCCGAAGATCTCGGCTTCCATGAGGGCCTCCTCGGGGACGCCTCCAAGGGGCCCTGCTCTCTCGCCGTCTTGGCAGACAATGAGCGGCATCTCGAGCCTCTCGGGCGAAGCTGCCACACTTGAGGCGCTTAGGTCTTTAGGGCTCTCGGCTGTTGCAGCCTCTGGCGTCCGCTGCAGCTGCAAGGAACCTAGCCGCATGCGCACATGGAGCTGGAGGCCCCCCCTCTTGCGTTTGCCGCTGGTGGTGGAGCCTAGAGCTCCGGAGTTGAACAAGACTCGTAGCAGAGGTCCCCGTCTCCTTGGACCGCCGCTCCCTATGGGAACTTGCTCCGTCTTGCAGCCCTTTCTCTCTTCTGCCCACGGCGCAGCTGCGGCAGGAGGAGCGGTGTCTTCTTGCAGGAGCGGATTAACGCTGTCTTCTGCTGCTGGAGCTCCTTGCGCAGAAGGCGCTTTGGCCTCGCTTTTGCTGAAGGGGGCAGTCGACGCCTCCTGCTGGCCTGGGGGGGTTGGTGGCTGCAATTGACGGTGGCGTTTGCGGGCTTCCTTCAGAAGGAAGTGGGAGGGCGCGACTCCAATGAGCATCAGCCTGATCGGGAGCGTGAAAAGAAACGGAGGCGCAGGGAGCACGCACAAATGGAGCGCAGCCGTACTGTACCGCACATTGGAGAGCAGCTTCCTGCAGGAAGCTCCTGTTTTGTCAGAATGCGGCCAAAAAAAGAGACTTTAGGGGTGAATTGGGGGCAGCCCTGGCCATACAGTGTATGTCAGGAAGCCTTTGCTGCATAGCTAGAGCAGCTCCAGATGAGGAGAGAGGGAAGTGCGCAGTGGTAGCGAAGGAAAGCGCAAGGGGCGTATAGTATGCCTTCCGGTAATACATCCGTGGGCCTAACCCGTTCTGGTGTCTGTACAGCACGAAATCCGCGCCCTTCTTGCCTCCCACGTCCAATGCAAACCTCTTCTGGCAGTAGCGACCCGTAACTGTGGGGAGGAGGGACGTCCACTTGGAGACAGGGGCCTCCTTCAAAAGACGGTGCTGCTGCGCGGAGATGAAATTTGTCAACAGCAATTCCTGCAGCACGACACGTTCTACTCGACCAGTCCATGTCTCTGCCTTCGCCTCAGTTCCCTTCTCCCTTGCGTCTTCGCCGTTTGCTGCGTGCTTGGCCCTTCTGCCCGGTGCATCTGCAGCACTCGGGTGGATATCGCACCCGGCGTTCGGGCCCCCTGCAGCGAAAGAAGAGGCCCCTTCCCTGCAATCTGGAGATTCCCCCCAAATAGCACTGAGAGTTTCAGCAGCGCATCGGAAACCATGCACGACGGGAGCCTCTGCTGTTTCTGGATTTAATTTGAGGCACACTAGAGAGGCTTCTCTGCCTTCCGCAGCTTCGCGTAGGTGCCTCTCTGGACCTCCATCTCCCTTGCCTGCTTCAGGAGGCGCTCCGAAAGCAGCGGAAACTGCAGCCGTAGCTTTGTGAGTGGTGGCTTCTGCGTCAGCACTGTATGGTACACTGAGGCTTGGGACACATTGCACGAGACTTGCTGATTGCCCTTCGCCACTGTCGCAGCAAGGGGGGCCCTGGCGGTAGCGGGAAGCCGAAGTAGAAGTTGCGTGTAGCACAATAAAGTTCAAATCGGCTGATGGGCTCTCCATTGTGCTGGTCCGCCTCGGGACGGCACAGCAGGGACTGTAGGGCTTCGTAGCTGAACGCAGAGCAAAGGGTGCCTCATCCTATTCCTCTTCTCAAGAGTATGAAATTCCCACTAAAAACACTTAGGGCTAGAACGGAGAAGAACGGAGCGCGAACGCGCAAAGCTGTTCAGTATGGAGGGCCCCCGGCCGGGGGGGCCCATTTTGGAGGGGCCCCCGGTTGAGGCCCCCTTACCCCGAGGCCTTCTCCCCACGGAGGAGAGGAAGGCGTTAAACAAGGAGTGTTCTGCAATTCTAGACAAGACGAGGCGTTTCTGGATCAGTTTGGCACTCATGGATGCTCAGCTGTTTCTCCTGAAGCCGGGAAAGACACCAACTCCGAGGGTCTTCTTAGCCAGCAGGCGACGAGTCCGGCTCTCTCTCTCTTTCTCTCGTTCCGCCGTCCGATCCTCCTCTATCTTGTCTGCAAATCGTGTGTGTTGCTGCCTCCCCTGCCTTCATGGGAGCTCTACAAGGCGCATCACCGCCAAATCGAACCGCAGAGGGCCATGGGGACCTCTGGGGGGCCCCTCGCTTCCTGGGCTCGCTGGAGTGACAGCGCTTGGAGCATGCGGCTCCCCCAGGCCCGCCCTCTTCCTCCGCTCCGAGGTGTTTCCTTGCGGAAGTGGACGGCGCCTTGGGCCCCCCCCCTTTCCCGTGTGTTTGTGCACATATTCCCCTCTCCTTTCTACAGGAAGCGTCAAGACCCCGATCCTTTTGCTGCTGCCGCCAGGCCCCCCCAGCACCTGCCTCTCCCTCCGCGCGTCGGGGCAGACGGCAGGCAGGAGCCGGCCCAAGTTGCAGCTGCATGCGTTCCCGAAGTCTCGAGAACCCCCGGGGAGTCGTTCCGAAGAGAGGCTCTCTGGGGGAGCGCGCGCAGTGAGGCCCCTATGCAGGGAGGCTCCGAGATACAGAAGCCTCCGCTCGCCGCCGCCGCTCCGGAGACGCCTGGGGCCTCTGCAGGCTCCCCGTCAGGCCTGGCAGAAATTTTGAAGGGGCATGTGGCAGCGCAGCGCTGGATGCAGCAGCGGTTGTGGGTTGCTCTGACGAAGAGGCAGTGGCCGCTGTTTGATCGTCTTCTGAGCAACTATTGGTAAGGCTTGGCGCTTTCGTCCATGGGGCCCGAACACCCCCCTTCCCGGTGTGCAGCAACGGGAATATGCTGGATTCGCCTAGGGGGACCTGTCCCTGTCCGCTTTGGCAGGTTTTTGCGCGAGCAGCAGCGTCTTTGTCTGCGCGAGAGCGCTGTGGCGTGTGCCTTGCGTACGGGCTACTTCTTATCGGACTGCACGGAGAGAGAGACTGCGTGGCAGGAGCTCGGGCCGAGAGCGCAAGAGATACGGAGAGCGCGCAGCGCTGTTGTGGTCCTTCTGTTTGCTTGCAGGCGCTGCGGCCTAAACTACGATGAAGTGACATACACTCTCAAGCTGCACGGCTACATCCTTTCCCACAGGAAAAAGCCAGAGAAAGTGCGTGCGGGCAGTACATATGGTGTGTGGCTGACGCACACCCCGCGAAACACCCCAGCACTAAACGGATGGCGTGTGCCGCGGGTGCAGAAAGCGAAGATTCTGAGGAAGCAGCTGGCACACGCACGAAGGGACTCCCAAGAGGCTTGGCCAAAATGGGGAGACCCTAGCTGGGGAGGGAGACCGTCTCCTTCCCTTGTTCTCGGGGGCTTTCCCATCGCTGTGTGTGTCTTCTTGTGCGGAGGTGGCGTGTGCAGGCTTTTCTTGTGCTAGAGGAAATGAAGGCCGCAAAAATGCACCCTGCCATTATTCGTCTTAACGAGGTATGACCTTTCCCGTGCCCCTTCTAGAGAAAACGGGTTACTCGTTCTACCTCCACACCACGCCCTTTTCCATCTCTTAGAAGCCGCGGCTGCTGGCCGCAAGTATCTGGCAAGAAGAGGAGTAGAGCGAATGCCTCGTGACGGCGCAGTTTTGACCCGTTGGATCCTCTTGCTCTCTCTGGTCCATAGAGTCAGCCGGAGAAGGAGCATTGCCGAAGCACTTCGTCTCCTCATTCGCTTGATTTCTCTCTTTCGAACCTTCTGTCGCACCCAGGGCATCATAATATCCCAGATGGAGCTGCAGGATATCTTCTGCGCCCTCCCGGCAGACGCCTACCAGAATCTGTGTCGCTTGGCTTTCCATTCTGCCATCAAGTCCGTGGTGCCTTTCACCCGATCGACCGTGCCCTCTAGTATACGCAATCCCTCTTAACTGCAGGAGCTGCTTCTCCTGTAGACTCGGGGCGTTACACTCAAAGGCCTATCTTTTGAAAAGCCCCCTTCCATAGCTACCTTTTCCTTAGTGTTGTATGGACGCACAGCTCTCACTGGGCGGTGCAGGTAAAGCCAACACACACACGCTGCAGCAGCTTTGGCCGCTGCCTCAGTCTCTTGTTTTGGGGCAATTGGTGTGCATGTTCCAAGAGAATAAGGCCTTGTTTTTGTTGGCAGGGTCCAGAGACAGAGGAGGATCCGGCTCCGGGAACGCCTCATGGCGACCTCTCCAGAACAGCTTTTCGCCTTAACGTACCGCGTAAGCCAGTGGTCTTGCCTCGGTCTGTGTCTTGAACCCCATCCTTGCCTTGGTTCCGAACTGTCTCCATGGCTGCTGCTCTGTCCGCTGGGGGAGTCAGGGCAGGATGTTTGGGTCTGTTGCTCCTGCACGTAGCAGCACAGGGGTGACTTGCATCTACACTGGTGTGCACACGCTGGACTGTCCTTGCCAGGCAGATCATACGAATCCCCATACTTGTAGATTTTTATATATATGGACGCAGTGCAATATACTGAATTTGGCGCGCGTGTATCGGGGCACGCATTTTCTCGTGCTGCCTGACGGTATTAGCATTTTACGCTGCCACTCTTGCTGCGGTCTGTGGGTCGGCTCTTAGGATGTCGTGGCGCTGCTTGATGCCCAGGAGAAGGCCCTTTGTTTCCCTGATGAAACCTTGGCTCTAATTGACGCAGACCGCTGGAACGATGCCCCCTCTCTGGAAGGCAATCAAGCCTTTCTTGCTGCCCTTAATGAGGCTCTGGGCCTCGAGGCTCCTGGTTCTCCAGAGGCTTCAGGAGCGCTGGAGGATTCAGAGGATCCTGGTGAATCCCTTGCGGGGATCGAGAGCCCAGTAGGGGAGCTAAATCTGCCGGATTGGCTAGGCAAAGAGGAGCTGTTGGACTTCAGCCTTCCAGATTCATCTGAGGAGCTGAGGGCTCTGGAAGATTCCGCAGTGGTGCATGCTCATGCCAAGGCGGGCACGGAGGAGCCTGCGAAATGTGTGTCGAATACCGTCACACCACGAGGCTGTGCCCCACGACAAGGGGCATTAGACACGAACGGCACGGAGATGCCATCCTCCGCAGCAGGGCACTCCCATATTGCTCCTCGCTCGGAGAAGACGCCTGCGGCAGGCGCTCTCTCCGACTTGCGCCTGCTCTCCCAACCCTTAGAGATCAGTGCCAACCCACGTCCCATCGATTGGCCATGTACGCCTCGGATGGCGTTTCAAGGGAAGTCACAGGGCCAGGGTGGCCGCGGGAGCAAAAAGAATAGGCGTAATCCGTAATGGCTCTAAGTAAGAAGGGACAGCTAGCTGGTGGGCAGCACGTTGCTGCGAGCAAAAGCTGATGGCATCGGCACTAGGGCATTGGCCGTACCCTTCTCTGGATTTGCTAAGCTGCTATATTATACGCAGGTCGTCAAATGTACTGCATTGGTTAATCATAAATACCAAGGGGCGCCTTTTTAATTTGAGGCGCTAAGGAGCAATAATCCTTTCCCTAAGAGGCTTGAGAGCCCGCTGGGGCAAAATTGTTGAATGGAACACCACACTTGTTATCTAAAGGTGTCATTTCACGCTTTTGGATGTCTGAGGCGAGCATTCTGCAGCTGTCTTACAGCTTTCTCTCGGGCAGTATATGCCCCGGTCTTCTCAGCCCACGCAATCGTCCAACGCGACGGCGCGTTTCGCCGTACACTTTATCAAGTAGAAAAGAGGCAGCGTTTTTTAAAGCTATACAACGTCTTCATAGCAATCATAGTTTGCAGGTTTTTGTGCCACCAGCTACCACGAACTTCGCACGCAGTCAAAGAACTGTGCTTCACAAGGGCATTCAGCGCATACGTAGCGGTCGGCAAGCCAGAAAGGCAGCCTTTCACTGCTTTTTAATCACGCACCGTAAGGCCTAGCAAACCAGCTGTCATTGTGCTCTCGTTAGCCCGACTTTTGTAGACTTTCCACGCCGCCCAAATGAATAATCGACAAGTCGCCTACATAGACGGGTAGTGCTACAGGCACCCGCCGCACGAGATTTACGTATACGCACGATCAAGTCTACAAACTTGAAAACAGTGGCCCTGAAGTCTATGCTACATTTCTTATGAGGAACAAACGGTGGCTCATCTGGTTCCTCACCTAAACTCCAGTGTCAAGACAAACTCACTAGAGAGTTACTGAGTGTTTTCCAAACAATAGCGCTCCTTCACCTGCCCACGCACCCCCGTTTTCCCTACCTCAGGGGACAAGGGCAGCTAGAGGGCACGTAGCTGCGCCCTCTAGGTATTGCGAGCATTCAGAGCTAGCTGCTCATAGTATCTCTAGCGCACACGCACAAAACACTGCGTCTTTTTCTGTCGAGCTAAAGCTGTTTTGTTCAAAAGGCGTATACGAACAGTCAAATGAAACAGTCAGTCTCCTACTAATTTGTGATTAAATACAACTCATGCAGGGGAAAGTGAAAAGCGTAGAGTAGCGCACTACGCTCTTTGCATCTTGCTAACCTACGGCTGGCAGGACTCTGCCGGCTGTGGCGCTAAGGCACCTGAATTTCCCCCTCTGGTAGAAAGGTCCATTTCATTTCCCACTCCATAGAATGCCTGTTCTTCGGCAGCTGAACAAACGGGATGCACGGCTACCATGCCAGACGTCTAGGTCAATATAGGTCAACAGCTCCCCACAAAACAGGCTAAGCAGGCACTATTTTAAGCGAAGAAAGCATCGAGGGTTCCTCAAAGGTACAAAAAGGGCAGCAAGCGTGAGAAGAAGCAAACAACGGAGCAGTGACCGAGCATTTAGCCTGGTCCATAATGCAAAGTATACCGCCCTAATAGAACGCTTCAGCAGCTGTCTCCGGTCTACCTCAGATATACCACTTTCTTGGGGCATGTTCTCCTATGTGGCAGCCAGGTTAGTCGTCCTGCCGGACACGCCGTTTATGTTTTGCGATGGATGGAAGCGCCTATGGAGGCCTCGGGGGAAAATGCTCATCGATAACATCAAGACTGATAAAACATATAGTTCCAGGCAAAAAGAGTGGAGAAACAAAAACAAGACAAAAAAGCGCACAGATTTCTTGTCGGTCATCTGGCTTCGCCGCATGCGCCGAGGCAAGACCGCCGCTGGGGGTCATTCTGCCGCCTTTTTGCCGACTTCCTTTACCACGCATATCCTTTGATGAAATAATACAGGATTTTAAAATCTTTAGCGGATATAGACCCAGGTCTGTCGTGGGCCGGCAATACCTCGAGAGAAAAAGGGAGGTCTGCCGAGCCGGTCGCGTTTTTGCCATGCAGTTCGCATATCCGTTGCGTTGCTTGAGGATTCGGTTATTCGCTACGGTTCTAAAGAGGGGTAATAGAGGCGTGAGGGCATTGGAGTCTCAACCGCAGAGGCGTCAGCGTACCATCAGTGGCTGCTACACCACCGCTGCAGGAAAAGGGCATAATACAAATCTGTTTGTAAAACCTGCGGCCTCTTGCCTTACTCTCCGCCGTTACTGCATCCCACGGCCCAGGCACCCATTTTCCAAGGCATTGCCCAAGTAAAGGCACTGAAAAGAGCAGAGAAGTATCAGAAGAGGAAACGGATATCCTGTTTCAACTTGAGAACATATTGCGCACCCAAGTGTCTTGCATTGTCTATTGGGGCAAGGCGTGAGTATGTCTGTGGCGTAGTCTCGTGTGCTTTATTCAAGTTCACAAGATGTTCAACTTCCTCCTGCTGGTGTCGCGCCAAGGGAAAGTGCGCCTATGCCGTTGGTTTGGCGACTACGAGTCAGAAGGTGAGTCCGGCGGTTTCCTCAGATCCGCAGCACGCAGCGCGAAAGAGAGAAACGAACTTGTGCGCGACGCGGCCTCGCGCGTGCTACAACGGAACGCCAAACAGTGCAACGTCATTGAGTGGAAAGAGGACACTAAATTGGTATTCAAGAGGTAGGAAGTGTGGCACGCACTTCTTTGTCACCCTTATATTTTAGCTTTTGAGCGGCTTTCCTGGGTGCACCTCTTATCGTTTTCATGTCATGCCCATCTGAGGAATCGCTAGAGTCAGCTAGCGAGCTGCATAGACTTTCTGGTAGCTTTTCCCTCGTGCCTCTCACTCCAGCGGCGCCTGTGTTGTTTCTAGTTCCGCTCTCATATTTTTGCTGCAAAATTCAGTTTTGTCTGGTAGAGATGCCGAAGCAAAGACTCTGTTTGCTTCCCACTATCCCAGCCTTTCCATCCATTCTGCTTCAGGGGCGCGGTGTGTATCTGTGTCATTCCACCCCGCCCTTGAGCTCTTTGTTCTCGCCTGTAGCGTTTCCTTTTATATGCTTGTGCCTGCTTTCTCTAAGGTATGCGAGTCTGTTCTTCATTGCGTGCGTGGATGCGCGGGAGAATGCATTGTTGGTGCTGGAAGTCGTGCATCACTATGTCGAGGTCTTAGACAAGTACTTTGGCAATGTCTGCGAGCTCGATCTTATCTTCAATTTTCACAAGGTAAGAGAAGGCGCACACTGAAGAGGCCTTCCACACGATGATCGTCGCCTCAGTGGGTGGCCCAAGATGCCTTTCATGATTAAGCTCTGCGTGCAAGTAAGATGCTTATGTTGCTTCTACTGCTACATTAGGCATATTACCTGCTAGACGAAGTAATATGCGGCGGGGAGCTTCAAGAGTCAAGCAAAAAGGCGATTCTGCGAGTAGCAAGCGCCCAGGACACATTAGCTGAAGAATCAGGGAACAAGCCCGCACGCCTCAACTAAATATCCGTGGGTCTTTCAGGGAGGCAACTGCAGTATGAACCAGTTCCTGATCCTGTTGCTTTCAACTCAAACGCTTCGCTTGGTTTTTCTGGCAGCAGCAGGCAGGAAGAAGCCAGCTACTGAATAATGCCGCGAAAGTTGCGTCGATCGTATCTCTTCCCCGTGGGCTTCTGTGCTGCAGCTGCCTGCTAGGCGTCCCACTCCACTCCGCACGCTTCACACTCAACCCCTCAGCGACAACTGATTGCAGTTTCAAGCGCATAGAGAGAGAAGGGCCTCCGCGCTCCGTGCACAGACGAATAGCTACTCAGGTGCAACAGGAGAGGCCTAACGTTGGAGGATTTGTGGGCGGTGTTTGTTTTGTTGCAACTGTGCAGAAGCTTTATTATAAGGCTTCTCTCTGACTTTGCCACTTAAAGAGGAAAATTATTATCTGGAGCGAGAGCTCTGTACACGCACGTCCAACCCAGGTCTTTTGCACCCTCTTTTATCAACCCTAAGACAGCTTGCATTCTTTAAGTGTCTCGCTCTCTCGGTGACAGGCAAGTGCAGCATCTGCCTAGACTCGTATGCATCAGCGGAAGGCTGTTCATTTGAGGGAAATGGGCCACGTGGAAAAGCACAATGCTCAGAAAGCTTTTCTCTATGTCCACTTTAGGAGATACCTGCGAAGTGTTGTAGATGTATGCGATATCGACATGAAGTATCAATGCAGAGTTGGAGTACATCTAAGCGTTCATGTACAATACATCTACGTGCGTATGCCTGCACTAAGCAGTGCATAGGCCCATGTAAATTGCCGTGATATTATTTCATATACATTTGTGTATGTGGATACGTGTATCTACATAGAAAAGGATAGATATGCATATGCTTTGCTGAGCTTTCCGTATGCAAACCTGCTTGCAAAGCTGTGCAAGAAAGCGGTAGCGCACTTCAAGTACTCGGAAAAACGTCTTCTTAGTGACACCGGCAGATTTGAAGCTCTGTCATATGGAATTCGATATATACTGAACGGACGGTTATCCACCACTATTCCAGTCCATTTTGACGTGCTGGGTGCTATGATTGAAAAGTAAGCAGGCACTACAGTAATTTCCAGGAAAGCACCGCAGCAGCTGCTCTGTGGGTTCGGTCTACCGGGCCATTTGGATTATGTGTAATCGTACGGGTACTAGGGTCCCTTTGTGCTGAATATCGTGATGGACTGATAATCCATTAGCCTACATATGTACAGCTAATATGCAGATGTAGAAAATTCGTGTCTATGGAGGGAAACAGGGCAGAATTGATGCAGCCGATGTAAACACGGAAGATGTTATTGCCTACTTACCAAGAATTATGTGGCCGTGGATGTAGGCAGCATATGAAGCCGATAAGGACTGGTAAACTCATATAATTTGTTCTCAATACATGATGCTTATGATATAAGCAATCGTCACTGTAGTGTGATGGTTACGCACTGGGCTTTGAGGCACCCAAGGGTGACGGACCGTAAAGAAAAAGGCGTAAATGGACACCGGCGGAGCAACGAAATACTTTCGCTGTGTCCTTAAATCAGTTAAGCGAGAGAGATATTCAGGGGGAATGAGAAAGTTACTTCTAGTGCTATTCGCCCAATTTCACTGCGTGATTCGTCCTAGCATTGATAAGGGTGCCTCTGCATTTAAAGACCAATAGTTCTTTTCACTAGCAATATTGTATGTCAGAAGAGGCAATTATCTGCCGTCGTCATTCAGTTAAGCGCTATATTGCTTTACAGAGGCTGCGGCCGAGTCGGGTGACCCCCGGCCCCTTGGTTTCATCAGGGATTTTGACCAATCCAATTGGTCTCCTCCGACAGTCCCAGGTCTCTGCATGCAGCAATATTTAAAAATCAAAAACTGTTGCGATGGTATTGCATAGCTGTAGCAGAAGGGCCTTGCGTGCGGTTGTCCGAAGAGAATCCTCCCCCCGTACGTTGACAGCCTCAGCCCCGCGTATCCTTGCGCTATGAATGCTGCCCTCTGCTTGAATTTTGTTCTTTTTAAGCAGCCTGCTGCCCTATCAGTGTTTTTGTTGGCGTTTCATTGCGGCTTTCCTTCACGCCCGCGTCTAGTTTGAAGGAGGTGACCCTACCTCCTGGGAAATTTGCATCTCCGACTCGTGGGGTTTTTAGCATTAGTGCAATTTTATAGCCTTTCCTCTCCTTCAAATCTAAGAGTTCTTGTGCACCTCCTTTTGTTGCAACGAACCGGTGCAATAAATTCTGAATTTTGAACCCAAGGGACCAGAAGCCCCGGTGAACAGGGGCAAAAGTCTCACTACGAGATCTTCACCCCATACTACTAACCTATGACCTCTTATGAGCTGCCCTATATAACGCTTTCTATACAGACCGCATTTAGTGCCACTGGCGTCACCTAGGAAGGCCTTCCTGAGTTGTCAAAAAGACCGCCGTGCGCCACATTGTAGTCCCCTTCCGCTCTCCCTTCCCGGGCCTCTACCTGCCTAATTTCTTGCTGGTACACGCAAAAGCGTATAGCGAGCTATACAAAGAGTGCATTACAGCTGTCTAGTCGAGAAAGACTTTCCCAACTCCCACCAAGGAGCTTGCCTACCGCAACACTACGGAGCAGTGCAAGGGGCTAAGGGCCTCTGTCACTGCTGCAAATCAAGGAAAGCAGCATGAAAATGCAGAACGTTTTTAACTGAAGCTTTGTGGGTGAATTAAAGCTCCCAGGGGCCGTTCATACACTAGGCAACTCAGAGAGTGTCCTGGCCACAAATGGACACTTAAAAGGGGGCGCGGCCCTTGAGGCAGCTCCAAAGGCCCATGAGCAGCTAAAAAATGCAGAAGTACAAGGTGCTTGGCGTTGTTGGGGAGGGAGCCTACGGTGTGGTTTTAAAATGCTGCAATAAGGTACTAATACATTCAGGGCTTTGGAAATGAGATTTGCGCCATACCTTACTTTGCTTCAACATTTCAAGTAGTCAACATGCTCTGAACAAAGTCTCTGGGATAAAAGGCTTAAAATATCTCGCCCTTAGAGGTTGTTTCTTTCATGTGTATCCCTTGTCAAGCCCTGTGGGCCTTGCGCTGTGCTACCTTGTGCTCCGCTACACTTGGGTTCTCGGTTGGAAGCAGAAAATTACAAGTCGAATAAGCAAAGACATAAGAGGTGGGTGGCCCTCTTTGAATTGCGTGAATTCAGGAGACAGGAGAAGTAGTAGCTATCAAGTCGTTCAAGTGGATGAGCGGTGAGCAGTGAGCACGCCACGGGCAGAAAACGAATGCATTTCCATTAAATGGCTGCGGCACGAACATTGAAAGTGATTATGGATTTCAGTATACGCTTAGATGGAAAGAACTTCTCCAATTAAATGCAGATATTGCCGAGGCACCCCGCGGGCCCTTGTGATGAAACGCCAGAAGCGACACTTTTAAGGACGGGCAGGGTGACAGGGGTAAATCTAAATGAAGCAGCACGAAGTTTATGGCGATGGCGAGGGGCGAAAGCTTCACTGTTGAAGCTCCTTCCCTGTGCTGTGCAGATTCAAACAGGCTGGAGAAGACGATTGCGCGCGAAGTGACGTACTTGAAAAAGCTACGCCATGAGAACATAGTTTGGCTCATTGAGGCCTTTAAAAGGTAACAGCCGCTAGCATAATGTCATTGGTAATATTCTGAAGCCAATATTAAGGCCTCTTGTCTGCGCAGTACTAGACTTTGAATGGGCCGCTTTGGATAGGAAAAATTAGGGCTCTACAAGGGAGCACATGACGTGGAAAGCCGGGGCTAGGGTGTGTGTGCACACCCGAAGACTGGTGCTCCCGCAGAAAGGAACGGCTGCACCTCGTTTTTGAGTTCGTGGATAAGAATCTCATGGAAATTATTGAGGCGTCGCCTGGTGGAGTCGATGTCAGAAAACACTGCTGTTACTATGATCGCTGCTGTTGCTGCAACTCTTGCTTCTCATGCAAGCCCCCTAGCACTAATAGGGCACAGTGCGCGTCGCCAGGATCAAGCGATTGATAGAGGAAGGGCCTCTTGAAGGGGGGCGACATTGAATTACAGGATAAGACAAAAAATTAGCAAACCGCACATGAGCTCACGCAATTAGCTAGGCAGAGAAACGAGTAGTCAGAGGCAGAAGGGAGGAGGCAGCAGTTCAGCAAGTGCCACGCAACCGTAGAGGAAGAAAGAATAAACGCATAGTGTGTGGATGGTAAGCGTTTGCCTACTATCTGCACTCAATGCGTGCCGCACCTTTCCTCTGTTCAAACTGTGTTCCTGCATTCTCTCAGGAGGAGACGGTTCGCATCTGCATGTGGCAGCTGGTGCGGGCCCTGAAGCACTGTCACGCCAATAGAATTGTCCATAGAGATATCAAGCCTGAAAACCTACTTCTCAACCCGTCAGCGAGCTCGCACATACGCATGAACATGCTCTTTCGGTTGCGGCGGCTCTCGCTGTTGTTTTTTGCACTCTTACCCACACAGCCCAGTTGCATTTCAGTCTAAATTGCCATCGTTGTATTGAGGCCACGGCACCCAATAAGTCTACTTGAAAACCATCCAGCATCTTTACCCTCCCAACAGCTTGCCTCCTGCTGTCATGTTGCACGCATGGCTGCGACTGACGAAATGACAGCCCCTTATCAACTAAGCAGACCGCTATTCAGCACTGCTTTTTTCTATATCGCTGTATCACTTTTCAGGAAAACTCGCGCCTTGAAGCTTTGCGACTTTGGCTTTGCCCGGTGTATGGACGCGGTCACCGCCGTTCTCACGAGTTATGTAGCCACCAGGTGGTACAGGGCTCCCGAGCTGCTTACAGGCGGCCTGGAATATGGAGCTCCCGTGGACTTGTGGGCAGCAGGTATTGAATTACCCTCTGGCACGCTAGCTTCCAGCCTCCGTTCTCTAGGCTAAGCCACCTCGTGCTGGAATCCACGACTTTTGACCTGCACCAAACTTCACGTATGTCATTCTCCTGTAGCTGGCCGCATACACGTCGGAGGTCTAAGGCATACACTTTGCGAGCATCTGCGTTTTTTAGGGTGCATAATGGGCGAGCTGATCGATCAGCAGCCTTTGTTCCCTGGAGACAGCGACATCGACCAGCTCTACAAAATTCAACTGGTGCTGGGCCCTATTACGGAGGAGCAGGCCAGGGCCCTCTCTGTTAGCCCGCGGTGAGCTAGGACCCCTGTTCCTTCAAAAGATTCGGTGTCTATGGCATTCCCCCTCCTTATGCGATAAAGCAGTGGCAATGGCGTTTACTTACTGACTGGCCAACAGCTGTTCTGAAACACATACTCTTAGCTGTTGCACCAGACACAATACACTGCGGTCAGGGCCGCTGTACTGCCCACAGATATTCGCATATAAAATTTCCGCCTCTGCCGCCCCCTGAGGGACTCCGCAACAGGTGCACGGCCACATGCATTCAAGGCTGCAAGTTCCAAAGCTTCATTTAATCTTGCCAAGCTCTAAACGCGGAACATAGCTCTTCGCGAGGATCGCAGACGGGCATCTCACTCCCGCTCAATACCATCTCACGGGAACCGTATGCTACTGCCTGTTTCTCCCTCCCCTGAGTGCCTTCCGCAGTCTCCTGCACCTTTCCGGGGGTCTCAGATTTCTATTCTCGCAGGTATGCAGGGCGTTTCGACCGCGTGGCATTGGATTTCTTGCAGCGACTGCTGACACTCGAACCGCAGGGCCGCATGACTGCTGCGGAGGCGTTAGAGCACCCCTACATTCGGCACCTTGAACACGCTGCCCCGCGTCGCATCATTGGTAGGGAGCCTTCTGAGCCCACCTTCTGTTCCACGTCGTCACTTGCATGGCCGCCCTTTCCTCCACAGCTCTCACCTGGCTCCCCAGGGAGGACCACCTTGCCTTTCCGTCACTTTGTATTGCCCTTTCCACTACTTGTTCGTTTTGTGCCCCCACACATACATCCCAGCACGTCGCGACACCAGGGGAGCACACATCTGGGCACGGCAGTATTTAGCAAGGAGTAGGGCACAATGGCTTTTGGCGGCATGCTCGCCACGCTGTAGGGCAGCGGTACGACAGGAGAAACACTAGCTAGCTCTGACTGGTCTAGGCACGTGTGAGGCTAAAACCCCGAATGAAGCCGGGAAGGAAGATCTGTAGCTTGCGTTCGACGCTGGTCGGGCCGTGATGCAGAGCCTCTGGTTCTAGACACAAGGTCTCCGTTTTGTGGAAATTTCGTCCGCCATCAGAAACAGGCCCTGCCAAAGGTGATACCTCTGCATGTGCAGAGTCCTCCTTCCACCGCTACTTTTTTGCCTTGCAGCCTAATTCTGGCTCAACTCTAATCCTGCTTCCAAGAGTTTACCCCCTTTAGGCTAGTGCAAGCACTGCAAGCTGGGGTGGGCGGTGTTGGTGGTGCGCAATGACAGGCAGTGCAACGCCGTCCTCAAGCGAAGGCCGTGCACCTAGATGCAATAGTGGAGGGCCACGAACTTTCCGTTGCAGCACCAGCCCCTAACACTACAAGAACGCAGCAGTGGGTCCCTCTGCCTGCTATGTATCGGCTGCCGCTTGTATTGCAGAGTGCACTGTGCCCCTTACTTACTGCGGTTTTGCTGCGCCATCACGGTTCAGAAGTATTCGGGCTCGAGCTGACATGCAGAGACTCCTGTGCATGCATTCTGGGTGGCCCTGGCTAGAAATTCAGTGCTCTATGAATACCAGCAAAAGTAACACCAGCAGCCCTAGCTACAGCGCTCACCGCTGCTAGGGCGATCACTTGGCGACTTGTTGCTCTGTTATGTGGACAGGCAAACAGCAAGCCTACCATGCGGTCCATCTGTAAGCATCAGGATTCACTCTCTGGCTTAAGGAGACTGGGACAAAGACTGTTGCACTGTGCTACTGTCGCTGCGTCTGCTTCTTCTGCTGCTAGAAAAAATAAGGTTTCTCGCGTCATCATAGGATCAACCTTGTACATAGGGAATTCCTGCTTGACAAGGGAGATTAGGCTTTTATTGCACCCGTCCGGCTTTTAAGGCCAAGATGTCTGCCTAGTGGCCTGTTCGGCGTACTGCGCCTCTAGGCATGTCCGCTAGTGTGTATCACCTGCTTGAGAGGAACCGCCTGTTGCTGCCCTATAGTATGCAGCTATACATGGAGAGAGAGATAGGAGACTCGGAGTCAGAAAAATAGAAAAGTAGCGGATGACTGGACCTGCTACTGTTCCCGTGTGGTGCGCCTGCCAGTTTCAGGACTGCCATCCCCTGAGACCCTCCTGCGTTCGATCCGAGTGTACTGAGCATTCTGGCTCTCCTTGTGAGCTCCGAGAGAGACCTACAGCTATATCTCTAAGAAGCAGAGGCAGATGACGGTAGAGCACCTGCTTCTGCAGCACAGGTGCTGCAGTTAGTGTTGTGGAGATGGAGAGGTAGCACCGTCCATCAGGACATGCGTGAATGTTTGAGCGCAGCAGGACAGGCGAACAGCGCCAGCCAGCCATTGCACGAACGAATGTACGGCTACCAGTATCGCCACCCCCATTATCACCAACAAACTGACTTGCAGCCGACGCATCCTACGCCTTCTCCAAGACAGCACCTAGCCCTGCCCCCGCTCCCAACAGCACATGCTACTTCCACCACACCACCATCAAGTATGTTGATAGAGGTGCCACAACGGAAATCCGAATCGGCTGCTGTTACGCCTGAGCCATGCCTCCCTCTTCCTAAAGAGCCCGCGGCGATAGGGGCACCCTCGCCCGTTGCACTGCCTCAGCAGGTCACTGACGTGCTTACTGGGCCTCAACAGCGGACAATGCATCTGGCGCACCAGCATCCCCAGCCAAGTCAAGAGAAGGCGAGCACCTGCGGGGGGAACTTTGTTTTTCCAGGACCAGGGTATGCGTTGCTGCTTCCGACCGCTGCGTCGCAATACATTCGCACCACAACCGGCTCTACCGCGGAGGCGAACCTTCCCCCCTCTCCGGAGGCGCTAAAGCTTTCGAAAAGCCTGTTTTTAAAAAATGCCTTGCCGATTTATTGCTCTCGCTGCTGCGCTGCAGGCCAATGCATAGGGCTGCCCGGGAAGCGGCTTTTGAGCAGGGGCACACGGTTCAAGAACCTGCTGGTGCTGCGGTGAAAAAACCAGCGGGAAGCCTGCAGAGCCTCGCAGTCCTCAAGGCCCCTGTGCATGGAGGGCCTTTGCGGCTTAGGGATGAGATGCAGCTGACAGGCCTATGCCTGAGAGTTGGTCAGGACCCAAAAGCTCTTGGGGAACCAGCAACACCCGAGAGCGGCGGTGCATGCGCAGCGTCTGACACCCTCACCGCTGCCGTGAGCAACGATGGTAGGGCTAGGCCGAACCTTTCAGCCTCCGGCTGCGGCTCCCCCATTGTAGAGAGCCCCCCTTCAGAGCCAGTGGGCCACTTGCGCAGTCCTCCAGGGGCCCCGCAATCCCTACAGCAGAAGGCACAGGGCCTTATACTACGCCCTTCCGTAGATCTCACACTGCAGCAAGCTGCTAGGCTCATCGAACTGGATGGGGCAGCCATCCGGCCCGCCGCAAAGCAACGGCAGCCCCTTCCGAAGCAGACGCAGCGCATGCCTGCCCTTGACTCTTCGCAATGCCAGCAGCACCAGCATGCTGCAGAGCGAAGGCGGGTGAGCTGTAATACGCCCCACAGGCAACCGTTTCTCTGCAGAGTACCGCTGTACCCGGGCGAGCCCGCTGGAAGATTTCAATCTTTTGCCGTGGCTCCCGCGCCACAAGGCTTTCAGACCCAAGGCGAAAATCTGTTCGCAAGGTCGTGTCAGAACGACCCTACCGGCGCCATCGCTGAAGCCGGCAACGCCCTTGTCGCGCGCAGGCAACTCGTATTTGGCCGCGCAAAGGCCCGGAATAACTTGCATCAGTCACCAAATCACCAGCAGCAAAAAACTGTTCTGCGGGCTCCGCTCAATCAAAACCAGCTGCATCGTCGGCCAAAGCAGCAGCAGCATCAGGGCCCACTCAAACAGCACCGCCCACTGAACATGGCAGGAGAGACAGTTTGGGAGGCCTTTACGCCGACCGCAGGAGGCAAGTCCCCAGGCGAGATGAGACGCCGTGTAGCCGCTCGTTTTGCTGGAGCGCCTTGATGTAGTGGCGTGTGATGCGAACCGCCTGTGCGTTCAGAAACAACTATGTATGCACAGAGATGGACCTCCAAGGGCACGACCACGGTTTCTAATGCAAGGAACCCTGCGTTGGCTGCCGCAGGCCCCCGGCGTGCACCTCGAGTCGTCGGATACGCTGCAAGATCCCGCGCCGTCCAGCTGTGCCCGCAAGCACAGCTACTGCCAGAATCTAAGGAGCTCCGGAGGCCCTCAATTCGAGGCCCCCAGCTACTGCCCGTAGGGGCGCCCCACAGTGAGAGCTGCGGCATTCAACAAAGAAAGTGCCAGAGTGTGGAGCCTGCGCAGCAGCCTTATGCACCAGCAAAGACCCTTCAGAAGCCTTTGGTGTGTCAGACGGAAGGCGCTGCATCCCCAAGAGAGGCACACTGCGTGGAATTTATCGAAAGAGGTCCTGAGGGGCCGGGGCCCCCGAGGATCCATGTGGGAGAGCCCCCCGGCGGGTGCATGGTGACTTCTAGGCCTATACCGGAGACTCAAAGGGCCTTAAGGATGGCAGCAAGCCTTACAGTGCCCCCCATTGGTTGTGCCACGTCGTACGACGAGCTCATTGCACTTTTTAGGAGCCTCGCGGAGCAGCAACAGTCAGACGACGGTGAGGCTCCCTAATCTCAAGGCCCTACCCTTCCCAGCCGTGAAGAGAGGGCTCTACGACATGGTTCCAGAGTTGCCCTGAGAAGAGCACAACACAATGTTGCTTTCCGGTTTTTCTGTGTTATTCAGATACAGCTCACATGCGGTACTGGTGTTTAGGGGCCTCCGGGAGTCCCCCACGGCGGCAGGCCTTTGGGGTGTAATTCCCTAGACGGATCCTCGCTGCGCCTGAGGCTCTTGCTGTGTAGCTGCAAGGCACCGCTGGAGAAGCCATGCTGAGATAGTCTGTGGGAACCACTAATTTCCAACTGTTAAGCTCATGAGGAAATAAGATGGTCTACAGGAACCACAGAGATGGCCTAGAGGGCTGTTATTGGGAATCTCGTAGCTAGTATAGGCTAGCCTTTACGAATGTTGAAGAGCTGGTAGTGCAAACAAACGTCTCTCTATGATCTCCCACCGCCTACACTTATTGTCTGTGCCTTGGGGAACTCAAAGCGCGGCCCGCCGCTCACAAGCGCATAATCTTCGAAAGCGGATAGTTCTAGCCAGTCCCGAGGCATCGCACATATTGAAACTGCGACCCTCACCCGGAGGCGTGTCGCATTATTAGGAATTTGAGCTTGTAATTGGGAAGAGCCTGGATGCTGGCCTACCGCATGGGGCTAAAGGTCCGTAGGGTGCTTGAGACTGCCCAGTATGCGTGCTGTTATAAAAACGCAGCACTCTAGGGCATAAAGCTGTGACGCCTTCGTAGTCCCATTAGGGGCGTAAACACACACCTGTAGGGGGAAAGGTGGGAGAGGCTTGTTCCTGCAAGTTTCTTACTCACCGAAAGTAAGCTTTTCGCCCTTTGTAACTCCCACGTACTGCCTACGATCTAGAGCTTGGGGTGTGCCTATAATGCCTTTGGTAGACATGCTCACATGAGCGGGGTGTAGCGCCGTCCGCAGAGATGAAAGCATATGGAGCTGCCACCTGTCCCTCAGGCCTTCTGCGCCTGTCTTCTCGAGATGGCCTCTAATTGGCATGGTATTTTGCAATTTGCAAGTGGAAGCCAGAGCAAGAAATCAGTAACCTAGTTGTTTAGAAAAGTCAATGCCCCATGTAACGCGCTTCCTCGGGAGCAGAAGAGACTCAGCCTGGATAAGACCTCCCAGCCACACTCGAGGGCCAGGAAGGCCGTCCCTCGGGCCGCCTTCGCCGCAAAGTAACGCTTTCCCGAGACTCGAATCTGCGGAATTGAGACAATGAACAAGAGCACGGAGAGCTAGTCATCTCCGCTGGGTAGGTGTGTGGCATCATAGAAAGATAAACCTCCATGGAAAGAGCAGCAGCAGAGTAGACGCATCTGGACGAGCCCTTTGCCTCTGGAAGCCCCTCTTTTTTGTTGACTCTGGCGGCGATTGCAGCTACTCTTCGATATCTTCCCTTATAATCACCCCTAATAGCCTTTTAAAATTGTTCTGGATCTTGCTTCTTTCCGTTGCTAACCCTTCCTGGAGCGAGGGCGTCGTCCATGCGCTCCCTCAGAAAGGCGCCACCCGGGAACCTCAACTTGCGCATCTCCCCCAAGCGGCTTTGTTCATTGTTTTTGCATTGGATCATTAGTTGATTACCCTCAATCTTGTCTCTAGTGCTGAAACTGCCGTTTTCTTTGACCGTGCACGCTTCAAGGGGAGCCTGGTCCAAGTGACCCCAGTGACACCCTCCTGTCTTGTCTTTGCTTGCCTTCCTTCCTGCTGCGCGCTGCAAAGACACACTTGCGGGTCGGTCTTCGTCCTCAAAGCTACACGAAACTGGACAAACTCTCGTTCAACTGCAACGCAGCACCAGCAGAACACCGCCGATCGGGCGTAAGACCATGGTTCCCCGGTATAGCCGCGATATCCTGGCCAGGAAGGATGGCATGGGTTTCTTACAACAGCTGCTGAGAGAGCAGGAGGCTTTGCAGCAAAAGGGCCCAAACTTGGGCCCCACGCCTCAATTCACCCTGCCGTGTGCAACTCTCACCGATAGCGATAGCACCGCGAACCAGTATGCCCTCAAGAGGAGCAACTCACGAAGGTCAGCTGTAGAGGGGGGCCCCCCAGGGCCCTCTGCACCCTCCGCACCTTCTGCACCTTCTGCTCCAAAGGGTTTTTCTCTTGAGGCACCCTTTTTAGCGAGTAGCAGTGGCGGCATCCCGGAGGAATTTTTGAGGACAGCCCAGAAACGAAAAAACGGCCCTAAAGGGCCCCTTCCACAGCGTCGCCTAGGTAATGCAGAACCCCCAATACGCTTAAAAAAAACAGAATCTGCAGCATCTAGATCTCCTCCTTGGGGGCTTTCAAGGCCCTCCGTGGGAGGGCCTTCCGCCCATGGGGCCCTCTTGCGGAACAGCAGGAGCTGCTCCAGGCTTGGGATAAATTCAAGGGGCCCTCACGGCAACCCAAAAGAAGGCGGCCTTGCCTGTCGACGGCCTGGCAGCGGTTTGCTTCGCAAGCAGTCAGTTGGTCTCGGAGAAAAGCCTCGTTGTGTTGCTGGTGCTGCAGAGGGAAGTACGGCAGCACCATCGAACTCGACGAGAGGCGCCGGGGCAGCTGAAGCGGCGCAGCTGAAAGAGCATGCCGACGCCGCAGAGCCCAAAGAACTGGCAGCTCTAGCAGAACTGCTGCAGAGAGTGCGCAAAGCTTCATCCTTCCTGGCCAAGAGGAGCCCCTCTGGCCCCCCCGCGCCAGAAGGGCCCAGTAACCCACGGACAGCTGGCTGCACCCCCCTTTATGGGGGCTCTCTACAGACTCCCCAAGCGAAAGGAAGCCAGCAGACTCTTAAGCGCAGCCCTTACGGCTCCTTAGACGGCCTGCGCCGTCAGGCACACCGCAGCAATAGCGGCAACAGCAGCAGGGGATGGCAGCGCCTGCAGCAGCATCTGCCTAGGGCTGCCGGCCTTCCATACCACCCGAAGCTAACCCAGGTGGGCTTGATGGAGAGAAACGGCAAGAGGGGCCCCCCAGAGGCTTCTGGAGTCTCTCGTCATCTGCTCAGTGAAGAGGCGAGCTCCATACTTCATGCCCAGCGGCAACCCTCCGCAGTTCCCCGGGGTCTTCCTGCTGGGCTTTCGGCACAGCACACAAGAGAGCAGCGGCCCCCCCAGCTCTACTCCATTGATCATGCGTTGATCCGACGGCGCTGCTCTCAGAAAAAGAGCGCCTGTGGGCAAGGGGAAGCTCCTCGGGAGCAACCCCGTCAACCATCGCAGCTGCGACTGAAGAGAGAAGAGCAGCGAATTCCCCTGCTGCCGATACAGACAGTGGGGCCCCCAAGACAGCCAAGTGCAAGAGGACCCCATAGTTGCAGAACTCACGCGTCATCCGTCGAACTGAAGCTCCCGCAAGCGCCACAGCAGCAACAGCAGCAGCAGCAGGGACAGGGGCAACATCCGCTGCTGCCCTCGCAAGCTGCCAGCCGAGGCTGCGGCTTTGAGACACGCTGCAGCGGCTCTCCGCAATCCGTCAAAGAAAACTCCCAAGGAGAAACGCAAGGAGACGAACTGCGACATTTTTCAATCACCAGTGCTTTATCCCCGGGGGGCTCTGAGAGTGCCCTCGAGCAGCTGCTGTACAGCAGCAGTTCAGAGGCAGCGACACCCACTGCGAAAGAGGCGCCAGCCAGCAATCCACCGAGCAGGGCCTCATCCACTGGGGCAGCTCTCCTTGCTGCAGTGAACAAGGAACAAGCAGCACCCTGGGTAGATAAGCCAGAGTCCGTTCAACAAGAGCAGCGGCAACAACGCCAACATATACAGCAGCACCAGGAAGACGAAAAGGCAGAAGAGGCGCCTGCGGGCCTACACAACTCTCCGACGGGTAGACTCCCGGAAAAAGGCCCCCTGGCGCATGAAGACGCGTCTCTAGGTGACATGTTAGGGGCTGTAGAGGACATCCCGGCTGAGGAGATCCTTGAATTTGGCTGCTCCCGCGACGCCTTGCAAAGCCCCTCCGGCGCCGTAGTAGAAAAAGAAGGCGCAGCAGGCGGGAGCAGTGCGTCTGCATCTGCCGCAGACTTCTCTGAAGCTCCTTGGGGAGGGCTTTTGCAGGGGAACGAGGACAAACAGAGCCTTCAGGAAGAATGGAGCCGCAGCATCAGCGACAAACACTCGATGCATGACGTCCGGCTGCAGCTGTCTTGCCTGCACCAGAAGGTGCTCTCGATGTGGCACCAAAGAGAAAGCTGCTGCTTTAAGGAGGGGCAGCAGCAACAACAGCACCGGCAGCAGCAGCCGCAGCAAGCCACCTCCTTCTTGCTGGCCTGTGGTCAGGGGCACACCGCTGAAAGAGCTAGGAGGCGGCTCTCAAAGAAAACAGAACAAGAAAACGGTCCACAACCACAGCAGCAGCAGCAGCAGCAGTGTCTACTATCAGAAAGAGATGCACACGGAACTCTCTCGGGAAAGGCTTCCCCAGAGCTTCTCGGGCTTCCAGGCGCCACGCAGCAGCTGCATCAGCTGCAGCAACAGCTGCAGCGCGTCCGGAGCAGGCAGTTCCTCTCAGATGGCGACAAAGGGGAAGAGGGACCTCTTGAGCCTGAGGGGCCATTGAAGCCCTCTGTATTAGAGCATAAAGGGACGTTTCCTGAATGCTCATCAGTTGTGCAGTCTCCTCTCTTCGGTGAGCACACCGCGCGTTGCTTCCTGCAGCTCGTTTTCTCCATGGATCGAGAGCGAGTTCTGCCTTTGTCCCTACACCACTAGCGCCAAGGCGCAAAGCTCCGGGGCAGTGCTGCTCCTAAAGACTAGACAACGCACCTCACCTTCCTCACTGCCCCAAACTCAAGCCCTCAACGTTTAGGCGTATAAAGGGTGAGAAGCTGACAGAGAGGACTCGCGACTTCCCCTGGGTGCAACTCCTCTGAACTGTGGCTCCTTTTTGTGCTGCTTTCCTGCTCAGCTAAGCCAGCCACCAACTGTCCCTTCCCAGACGCGTATGCTCGCGAGATGCCACATAGGGCCCCTCCAAAGCCGGACGGCGAGGCTCCTGAGGGTCAGGCTTGGAGTCCACCCCTCAGATCCTGCTCGGGCAGTTTCTCCGCGAAGGAGATCTCCTTCGCAGATGCGCTGCAGCTGATCGACACCCTCGCTACGCTCACGCAGCAGCAGCAGCAACAGCAGCAGCAGGGGCTGCACTTGAGAGACCTCTCTAGCCTCGGTGCAGTCTCGGAGTCCGCCTCCGGCGCAGGGGCACTGCGCCCTCCTCCGGAGAGACGCAGCATCTCCTCAAACGGCAGCGCGGAGAGCCGCGCAAACCCGAGGGAAAAGCCTCCAGGTGCGATTGCTTTCCACGTGGAGCGGCAGGTCCTCAGGCTCGGTTCTTTTTATCGTCCCCTTTCTCCGCATGTCGACAGGGGCAACCCCTTACCGACTGTGCCTGGTTGTGTGCGGAGTGCTGCAGCGATAAGGACCCCAACACGGCCCCCGGCAGCCGCTGTCTTAGCGCCTGCAAATGCCACAAGCTCCAAAGCGCCTCCTGCCCATAACCAGTGTACAGAGGCGCTCTCCACCAGGGCAGTCGGTGACGCAGAAGCGCCCACGCCCGCCGTCTCTGGCCTTCGTCAAGGACGCCTAGGACAGGGGCAGCTTTGCAGTCCCCTCGCAGACTTGCACCCCACCCCGCATGCCAGCACCAGCAGCTTGGATGGCAGCTGCGCGGATCCACCCGAATCAGCTTGCATGGGGACTAGGCTCAGTGAAGCGCCCTTCGAGCGCTTATTACCTCCCCCTGTCGAGAGCGTAGCGGGTGAGGGGGAAGGCTCCCACCTCTCTCTGCGGAGCTGTGAGTCCTCAGCGCATACTCTTACCAGCATCCCCTGCTGCACGAAAGACACCAAAGACAAAGACGGCACGGCCCCTCGCCATACCTTTGGATCCGAGCTGCTACTGGGAAGAGCTCCCCCAGCTTCGGCCTTTCAATTCCAGCAGCAGCTTCACCATGTGCATGCGGCAGTCGCCGCGGAACCCTCGCCATATCGCCTCACAGGGGACGTGGCGGCCTCTCTTCAGGCCGAACCGGCAGTAGCAAAGACGTGTGAGGACCACTTGAGTGAAGACAACAACCCCGTGGGCGTGCTCGCGAGAGCAGGTGCCATCACGCAGGCCCTCATGGACATCCATCGGGGAGGAGAGCCCTTCCTCGGTAGCAGCTCTTGCAGTCGGAAGAGCACCAACCAAAGCGGCAAACTGCAGCGGCGGCTGCACCACAGGGAGCAGCGGATGATTCGGCGACAAGTGAGGGACTCCCTGCTCTTCATCTCCGGCCTGGAGGCAGCCCTGTCCGCAGCAACAGCGGCCGCTGCCACCTTCTCTAGCTGCTATGCTGCCCGCAGAGCCCCCGCAGGGGTGTCTAGTGGAGATACACCCGAGCACGCTCAACTGGAGGAGCAAGCGCCTGAGAAAGGATGGTGCAGCGCCCTGTGGGGAGGGGCAGAAGAGGCGGGCCGGCTGCCGATTTCTCTTTTGCAAAGCAAGGCGTCAGGCCCCCCAAGCGAGCAGACGTGGCAAGTGAGAAGCAGGAAGCAAGCCACCAGCGACAGGAACGGCGATGGCAACAAGGGGAGCAGCAACGGCAGAGCCGCCGCAGTGGGCGTTCTTCCTGAGGCAGGGGCACAGGGCATGGAGGGCCCCATACCAGAAGCGGGAGGCGTAGGAGGCAAAGATGAGCCACTGGGGAAGCGAGAACGGTTAGAGTGTGTGAAACGGCCACTGCCCAACGGGATTCTTCGCTCAAAGCCAGACTGCACGTGTATCCACAGGAGCAGTAGTAGTGGAAGCAGCAATCGCTCTCTCAGCAGAAACCGTGGCAGCAGAAGTCGAGCTCCCTCCAGCTGCTGTCGTCCACTCAACTTTTTCAATAGGACACAAAGCCCCGCGCGTCAAGTGGCCATGTTTGAAAGCAGCAGTGGCAGGAGTAGTAGCAGTAGGAGTAACAGTAGCAGTAGGAGTAGTAGTAGTGTAAGTAGCAGGAGCAGTAGCAGTGCTGATACAACCCCAGCCTCCCTACGCGGTTCTCGTCGCCTTGCACATGCAGCTGCAGCCTCTTGCAACGGGGAAGGAGAAGAGAGTGCAGCAGACTTAGACGTAGCTCAATGGGTAAATGACAACGGGCTGTCCGTCGAGCTACTGCTCGAAGGCCCCGCTGCCGCGCCCACTAGCCCACGCTGGAGCAAGACACACAAAGACCAAAGGGGCTTCGTCGATACTGCAGAAAAGCGTAGCCTCACCGCCATCAGCAGCAATGCCAGAGGCAGCAAAAGCCGCGGAAGTAGCCCTCCTGAGGCATGTGAGTTCAAAGTCACAAAGGTGCCACCCGCCGCTGTGCAGTCCTCCTCACAGAGCAGCAGGAGCAGTAACAGCAGCAGGAGCAGTAGCAGCAGCAGGAGCAGTAGCAGCAGCAGGAGCAGTAGCAGCAGCAGGAGCAGTAGCAGCAGCAGGAGCAGAAGTAGCAGCAGGAGCAGAAGTAGCAGCAGGAGCAGTAGCAGCAGCAGGAGCAGAAGTAGCAGCGGGAACAACACCAGCACGAGCAGCCGAAGTCGAAACAATACCGAACAGAGGGGAACGATCTACAGCAGACCATCCACTAACCCTAGAGGGGTGTCGGCTAAAGAGGAGGCCACTGGGAGTTCTGCTATGCGCAGCCCTCACCTGCAATCGCAGCCGGGGGATGCCTCTTCAAAAACAGAGTTCACAGTCGTGGAGCAGCAGCAGCAGCAGCAGGAGGAGCAGCAGCAGCAGGAGCAGGAGCAGCAGGAGCAGCAGGAGCAGCAGCCTGCGCTGCAGAAACAGATGAAGGAGCCGAGTTTGCTTGCTGCTTCTAGTGGGTGTTTGGGAGACGGCAACACCAGCAACAGTAGGAACTGCGGGGATGTCACTGTCGGAGGATCCATGGTGAGCCATTGGCAGCAGCAGGGCCGGCAGCAGCTCCTTCACGCGGAGGCTGGGCAGCTGCGGAGATTGCGTCGCTTCGCAATAAGAGGCAAAACGCACGCAGAATGCATGCAGCACTTTGGGAGGCGCATGGGACTAGAACCTTCCAGGCGGGTTTTTTGTGTGGAAACGTCTAAACACAAAAGAAGCGTTACGCGAGCAACTCAAGCAGCTTCGAGATCAGCAGGAGACGCAGCTGATTTCGCCAAGGGCAGCGCAGGGTGTCCATATGCTGGTCGCTTAACCGTGGAATCCTGCGTGCAGCGAGCCCTTAAGGGGTTAGGCTGGGCTTCAAACATGGACTTGAACTCAGTTTTTTTTGATTTGAAATGGCGACTTCGCGCTACAGAAAGAGACTACAGACAACTGCGGCCCGAGCAGCTGTTTAATCACTTTGAAGGCAACGAAGCACTTACCACAAAGGGCGGCCTGACGCGAACTCTCCAGCAGCTCTGGGTGTCTGAGAGGGTCCCTACGCACGCCTTCTATCCCAGAGCCTACGACCTCGGCTTGCTGAGCGACTGCACCGCCTTCCTGCTCGACTGGTGTCGCTGTGAAGCTGTGCTCGTCCTTCTGCTGTTCCTCAAGTGCACTGCCGCTGCAGCAGCATCCCCCCTTGCGCCCTCGGCTACTCCAGCAGCAGCCGGCGAAGCCGCAAGGGCTAGCGCTGCTGAGGAAAGCGCGTCGGGAGCAGCGCGCACAGACCTCGAGGGGAACGCACTGATCGGAAAAAGCCTCGCAACAAGGGGAGCAGCCTTTCCACCATCTCGATCTGCCACAGCCTACGCACGAGAGGCCCTCTTGCTACCCTGGCTTGCCCTTGAACTGCTAGAAGCCTGGTTGCCCGAGCTGCACTCTGATGCATTCTTGGACTGTGAAGGGTCCTGCTACCCTGCGGCTCTTTCGCCCCCCCACATTGAAACGTTCGTAGAGCTCTCGTGGCGTCTACGGCAGCAGCAACCAGCATTCGTCGCGCACTGGAAAGCAGCCGCGCAGCAGCCAGTAGCAGCCACACAGGGAATACAGCTGCAGCTAAAGGCCTTACCGCTGTGGAGCTCCTCTGATCTGAGTTGGCACTCAAACTTCCAGGGCCCCCATTCGATTCGCGTCAGGAGCGTCCTTAAGCGCATCCGCACCCTCTGGCCTCTGTGGAGAGACGATCTCGGCTCTGGATCCGACATTGACGCTCTCCTTGGCCTCTCTGCAGAATCAAAGCAGCACCAGCACCAGCAGCAGCACCAGCAGCAGCACCAGCAGCAGCACCAGCAGCAGCACCAGCAGCAGCACCAGCAAGGGGAAAGTTGGCTTAGCAAGAATATATGGATCGTGAAACCTTGCAGCAATGCTCGAGCATCTGGCATCAAGCTCTTCACATCGCCACTAGAAATACTCAGATCTGGCAAGGCACTCATCTCGACACCCTTCTCCCCCAAAACAAAGCAGCCTGCCCGATACTTTTACTACCCGAGGCCTGCTGCATGACGCGCTGCCCCGCCGTCCCTCGTGTGGTGGTGCCTTGCCTTTCGCATTTTAGCTACCAGTTTACCCCTTATCGCTCATGAGCTGTGGGTGTCTGCGCTGGCGATGTGCATGCTCTCTCTCTCTCACTGCCGCTCGTTGCCTGAGACCGCGTCTTTTTTTTCTGTGCGCCGTCTTCTCAGGCAGGGGCCTCCGTGATCGCTTGGTGCAACGGTACGTTGAGCGGCCTCTCCTGCTATGGGGAAGGAGGAAATTCGACCTGCGCGTTTGGGTGCTGGTGCGCTCCTTCTGCCCCTTAGAGGTGTATTTGTACTCTGAGGTGTACGTACGGCTCTGCGCGGAGCCGTATGACCGTGAAGACCTTGCGAACAAGTTCAAGCACATATCGAACTGGAGCCTCACTCGACTGAGAGCGCGAGAAAGCAGGGAGGTGTCTTCTTCACCCCAGCCTCCCGGGAGCCAGCCAGAGCCAGCTCTGAGGGAAGGACGTGGATGCGCGGCTGCCACGGACAAGAATGCTGGAGAGCTGCCGAGAACTTTGGAGGAGAGGGAGGCCACGCTGCCTCTGGAGAGCCTCCGCGCAGCTCTGGCCGAACGGACGGGGCAGAAGGATTACTGGGCTCGCGTCTTGTGGCCGCAGCTGCGCTACTTGGTGCTGCAAACCATGCGAGGAGCGATCCCCTCCATTAAGCAGCGCAGTAGCTGCTTCGAACTCTTTGGCTTTGATGTGCTGCTAGATGAGACCCTTACCCCCTGGCTGCTAGAGGTAAACCTAAGCCCTGCTTGCAGCTGCAGGCACCCCTGGTTGCAGTGTCTTCTTCGGCGCATGACTGAACAGCTCCTCAATATAGTCCTAAGGGCCCCTGGGAAAGACCCTCCAGCAGCTCCCAGCAACCGGGAAAGCGAGGGCCCTTCCGTGTGCAAGGCTGGCAAAACAACGGAGCAAGAAAGAGAAACTGTGCTCGACGGAGGATACTGGGAACTGCTCTTCAACGAGGCCCTGCCCCTTAAGGAAGCGCTCGCAACTCTCCCTCCCATCCACTCCCCTACCCACAAAGGCAGCATTGGTCCGGCAGCCACCGCACAGCCACAGGGTAGTCCCCCGAGCTCCCCCAGACGTCTCATTGAAGAGCTCTATGCGGCGGGGGGCCCCACTGCCGCTGCCCCCGCACGCCGCAGGCGCAAGCCCAGGCTGCAAGGCCTTGTGATACATGGTCGAAGGATCACACAAACCTGCCATCGGTGTTCTGCTGCCGTTTATGCTGCTGCTGCGCAGCAGCAGCATAAGGAGTTCGCCGAGGAGGCAGGTAGCCTCTCTCTTGGGCTGCATGGTGACAAAGATAGAGCAACCTTTGTGTCGTGAGCAAAGGGTGTGTGGGCAAAGGGCGGTGTAAATCTGTTCACCTCTCAAAATGCTCGAGGTGGAGACAGCTGTGTGCTGTAGCTTTGTGGCGCGTCTACGGTATGCTGAGATGGTGGGTGCATTGGAGAGTGCGCACAACTCCCAGGCAGCTCTAGGAACAGGCGATGAAGGCAGCATAGGGGAAAACGCCGTATTGCGGTCAAAAGAGGCGCCCAGGGGGACGTAGCAGAAGCAGCTCAATCACTGAGGGGCCTCTGCGGGGCATGCAAGGGTACTACTCTCGCCTCCTACTTGCCGCTAGAGACTCTCACTGGCAAGGGGATACGTGGAGGCTTACGGCTGAAAGCTGCTCAGTCGGCTCTCCAGGAGAGTGGCTGCACCGTCCACACAGCCCGTGGCACCTGCCACGACGTGCGCTAGGTGGAAATAGCAGAGCTGCTTCTGGCACCTGCACTACTGTGAGCACACCGCACGGGCCCTACCCCTCAACCTGTGACCCACTCCTCATCTCGCGGCACCCGTTCCCTGATCGCTGGCTGCTGCGCGCGCGCCTCACTATTTGCGTCTCGCAAAAACGTCTCTCAGTTGAGTCGCATACGTCTCTGAGATCTTTAGTTCTTTGTCTGCCCGACACTCTCTCTGTCTCCCCGCGAAAGGGTGGGACCTTGGCCTCTGCGCCGTCGAAGCCTTTGAGCGGCTAGGCGCCGCCTTAGGCCCGGAGGGGCACCTTCCCCGCCAAAGAGAGGAGCTACAAAAGGAGATTACCTGCTAGGAGAGCACGGACTTGTGCTCCGGTGCAGAGACTGCTCTAAGAGGCCTGTAAGGGATGCGGTGCCACATGCTATCTCGAAGGGCCATCTGACACCCCGCAGTCTAATGTGGGGGTGAGGGGCCTTTTTCGAGGGCTGTTGTTTCTCAGTGCTACCCCTTGGATTAGAGCGAGTCCCCTACGCAATGACACTGTCAATACGCGATTCATACACGGTTGCCTGCTAAGAGTACAGGGGTCTCCGCGCAATAAGGGAAGCTTCTTTGTGCATGTATATATGTGTGTGTATATGTGTGTGTATATGTGTAAGTGTATGTGTGCAAGTGTATGTGTGCAAGTGTATGTGTGCAAGTGCATGTGCGTCCTTTCTGTTTTGTGCAGAAAGGCGCAAGCGCGCCGTATGCGAACACTGTCTCCTGACCCTCAGCCCTCCCCCCGGGCCCCTGCGAAGACCCCGTGGATCCGCACTCGCCCGTCGCTTCCGCCGGTGACGACTGCAGTGTCTGCCAGCCAAGTGCAACTCAGGAGGCGCACAGGAGCACCTTCCACTTGCGCTTTGAAGACAACCAGCGGCTCTGCAGAAGCCCTGATGTCTTGAACGAGCACGCAGCCGTCCTGCCCCGCGGAGGCAACGAGGTGGCCGTTGTTCGGGCACCAGGAGACTGCAGACGGGAGTCGCGCGTGGCGCCCCTTGAGAGACTGTCGCAGGGAGAAGCCGCGGGAGGGGGGGGGGCCCCCCTTGCCCGCCTCCTGCCCCTCCATCTCCAAGCCTGCAGGCGAGCGCACATCCCACAGCCTGACGCGGCAGTCCTCGTGCGCCGCGGCTACCACTTGGCCCTCCGTAGGGCTTAAGGCAAGGCCCAGAGGCACGGCGTCGCAGCGCCACTGCGACACGAGCCTGCCCTCGAGGCTCCACAGGCACAGGCAACCGTCCATGCCTGAAGACACCGCATGGCCGTCTAGGGAGTCCAGTCCAAACAGAATATCCGAAATCGCGCGCACAGAGGAGGCAGACGCCCCCGCACACCCCCGTGCAGCACACGGGAGAACGCCACAGGGCCCCGACGCGCCAGTGGCGTCCATGCGACGCTTCCGTCTGCCTTGGCCTTCAGAGGCTTCCGCCGCTTCTGCTTTTGCCGCTTCTGCCGCTGCACGACAGTTCCACAGCGTGACGCAGCCGTCGCTGCCTCCGAGAGCGGCGAGCTCGCCGTTAGGCCGCGCGGCTACGCAGGTTGCGGGGCCCCCATGGGCCCCTGCGAAGCAGAGCCTGGAGCTCCATCGGCTCTCCGTTTCTGCGAGACAGACAGAAAGGAGGCCCCCTCCCTGCGTGGCAGCCAGGCAGAGCACAGCCTCGCCTTCTCCCCCGCACAGCCGCACAGACGCGACGCCTGTCAGGGGCCCCTGTCCGAGGGGTACGTCGTGCACCAGAGAGGGTGTCTCTGCAGAATACAGCCGCAGATGCCCGTCGTACGAAGCCGCCACGATGGGGCCTAAAAAACACAGCAAGCAGCGGAGAAGGCTCTAGCCAAAAGTCTCTCTCTCTACTGCGCAAGAGAACTGGGGCCTTCAGCCCTCCCCCCTCTCAGCCGATAAGGGCCTAAAACACAGCACCCGAAGCTCTAAAACACAGCACCCGAAGCTCTAAAACACAGCACCCGAAGCTCTAAAACACAGCACCCGAAGCTCTAAAACACAGCACCCGAAGCTCTAAAACACAGCACCCGAAGCTCTAGAACACAGCACCCGAAGCTCTAAAACACAGCACCCGAAGCTCCAGAACACAGCACCCGAAACTCTAAAACACAGCACCCGAAGCTCTAAAACACAGCACCCGAAGCTCTAAAACACAGCACCCGAAGCTCTAAAACACAGCACCCGAAGCTCCAGAACACAGCACCCGAAGCTCTAGAACACAGCACCCAAAGCTCTAGAACACAGCACCCGAAGCTCCCCCCCCCCTCTGCAACCTTGAGAAAACACACGCCACGCACCTTTGGAAGAGGGCACGGCAACCTCCGAAATCCAGTCGGGGGCAGGAGGCAGCACATGTTCTTCCCCCTTGCGCATAGCCAGCTGGTAGTGCAGCCGCACTGCAACCTCGGCTGTCATGGCATGCTGCTGCATGTGCCTGCGCACAAAGCCCCCCGAAGCTGCGCTTACCGCGAACCCTGAAGCCTCCCGAAGGCGCGCAGAAGGCGTTTGTTCGGCAAAGAGCAGAGAGAGAGACAGAAGCCCACGACAAAGAAGGGGGAGCAGTGCGTTGCCTAGTTTAGGACGAAGGGGGGCAGCTTACTCCTTCAAAGAGCCCCTAAGAAAGGTCTTCCCGTCAACCAGGAAGTCCAGCGGCTGCGGTATCGGCCACGCATCTGGATCCTTCTCCGTCAACAGCCGATTCACGAGCTGTAGATCCACCCACAGCGCGGAGGGAGGGGCAGCGGCACAGCACAAGCACACTCAAACACATGCACACGCACCCCGTCGAGGCTTCCTGCCGTGAAGAAGCGCTACGCACGAACGCAAAAGGGCCAGGTATGGAGCTAGTTGGAGAGGGAAGGTCCTCTTCTTGCCTTGGAGAGGTCACCGCGCCGCAGGGACGCCTCAATGCTCAGCGGCTCTTGGGGTAATCGCAGGGGTTCAGGCAGATCTGTGGTAAAGAAAACATAAGCCCTAGCACCTCCGACGCTCCCGATCTCGCCCGACTCCTTGGCAGCGTGCTGCTGCAGGGTTGCTGCAGATGCCTCCTCCGACGCGTGTTCGTCTTCGAGCCATGAGGGCTTCAACACGGCTTTGAGGCCGGTAGGGGGGCCCCGCAGCGCCATCGTGCGTTTGCCGCCTTCCGGAGGCTCTCAAATCAATCCACTTCCTGGACGTTTAAACCCATGGGAAGAGGAAATGGGCGCAGAAAAGACAGGAAGGCCACCGAAGTGCCGTGCGTGTGGGGCGAACAGGGCACGCCTACGGGCTGATCCTATGTTTAAAAGGCTCTGTTTTGAAATTTATTCATCCAAAATGAAGAAGCAGGCACAACAAGCAGAAATCTGGGGGCCCCTTGGGCCGGAAGGGCGGCGTACTGCCCCGAGGCCATGGGGGCCCCGGGTAGCGTCTTGATGGGGCCCCACCGGCTCAGAGGGCCCCTCTGAGGGAACTCCAGAGGCTTACTTCGATTCAGGGGCAAAACTGAAAGTAGGAGCTGCTGTTGGGAAGCACGTTCATCTGGCCGAGCTGCTGTTGGGAAACACGTTCAGCTGGCTGAGCTGCTGTTGGTCATGTGGCATAGGTGGTGCTCGCTAGGTTTCTGCCCGAATTTGAACTTGTGCTGTTGACTGGTGCTGCCGCTTGCGTGCTTGGGGTGGGCATTGCATTAATTCCCGCTGATGCCTCTCTCTGACGGCTGCTTTCCTAGCCTTTGCGCCCTGCGAAGCCTCTGACAGCAAAACACAAACGGACTTGACGTGCAGCGAGGGTTGGTTTTAGCTGAGCGGGGGTCGCGCTTAGATGGGGAAACAGATGGACGAAGGGCGGGGGAGTAGAGGTCCGAACGATAATGAGTCACGGAAATGGAAGGAGAGCCAGCGTGTTCGGCGAAACTCCCTCTGCACAGGATTCAAGACCCATCTGCATCCACCGCTTTTTACCCTTGTATTTCCGAAGGGAACTTCATGGTGAACAATGCAGTCGAGTCTTGAGACCAACATGTCGTCGAACTTGCATATTACTTGTCTCATGTGGGAGAGCCTCCTGCGTAGGCGGAGGCACAACGTTCAGGCGGGCAGTTCAAAGTACACACCTAGAATCCCTTTAGTGGGGAGCTAATCCTTCCTCTGAAACAAAAACGTGTGTGAACACACAGAGAATGTCGATACAAATTTCATCTCCGAAGGCCATGAAACGCTGCGTCTAAGATCTCCGTAGGGGGACAGTGAGCACCAAACACAATACAAAACTTGAAGCTACCGATTGTTCTTCCAAAAGGAATCCCTGCTTCCCTTGCTCGCTTTCTTCATGTAGCGGGCGAATCACGCTTACATACTTGTTGCTACACTGGATGTACTTGATAAAGAATTAGTGAACAGTTGACTAATTGTATTGTGCATTCACATGTCTTATTCTCTGAAGTTTGATTGGAGCACTGTGGCTCGATACGAGAAGATGCTATGTTGTGAGTACGTGCCTTAGATACTGTGTGCAAGAGCTGTGGTTGCTCGGCCTGCTTAGAGGGTGCAGCTGCACGTGTTTCACCTGTCGCTCTCTCCTCATATCGGAGGGTGTGAGAAAGACTGGGCCGCTGAAAGAACTTAGTAACTTTCTGAAAAGTTTGTGTAAACCCCAGAGTCAGTGTCTCAGCAGGAAGGCTTCATTCAAGGGCCTTGCGCACCTCTGGTTACGGCTAGCGTGGTGGGATTGTTCCTTTGTGTTCGACTCTCTGATGCTGTCCTAGGAAATCTCACGATGCCCCCACAAGAAGAACCTCATGTATGTGTGCTGTTGCCCTAAGCAACCAAATGTAGGCGGGCAGCCTGTTCTGCAGGCAGTGGAATGCCACATTGGGAGAGGCGCTCAAGAAAAAGCTCCTCAGGCAAATGTAACCCTGCAGTTAGCAATCGGGTTCATTGGCCTTATGAGATGGCTTGGGAGTCCCTTAGAGCAAGCGGAGTTTCAGCATCAGGCACGAAGTTTCCTTCTGAGCTGCCGGCAACAAGAAAAGTTGAAGGGTTAAGTGCAGCAGCAGGAGGAGGAAGACCGCATGCGCACCCTACGTGCACGAGGACCCTACAGCTCACACTTCCCCTGTGTGCATGACTAAGTGCAATGTGGGCAGCAGTGGCCTCTTTCGGTGTATTAAAGTCGTCTGTACCGTGAAGGAAGGGTACTTTGTAGGTCAGTGTCTTCAACCCAAGTCCTTGTGCGCAACGTTGGATCAAAAGCCTCTGCAGTGAGACACTGACTCCGGGCTGTATGCAAACTTGACTGAAAGCTGTCAAGCGCTTTCCAAGAGACCACACTCCTTGGCCTTGCGCTGACCTCTCATAGTCCCCGCAGCAGGGCAGAGGAATAGCTGGGTGTGCGTAGCTGCACCTCGGAGCACGTTGAGCCTTCACAGCTGGTTGAACAAAGTATTTAAAAGACACACACGCAACACTGTCTTCTTGTAGCGAGCTAACCGTACTCTGCAGTCGATAAGACTTACGAAAACACAGCACGGTTATTCAACGCTTCAAAAAACCTTGGATAATTCGGCCAGTGTCTTACAGGGTATCTGTCAGGCACGTACAGACACAACCTGTGTGACCAAAGGCGCCATCACAACGTGGCGGACCAAACTGCACTTGCAGAGAGGCTTAGCGTACGAAACCCCTCGCAAGCCCTAGCGTTGCTGAGTTGTGGCTTGAGCCCGTAGCCCCCTGGTGTCTGCATTGTCCTTAATACTCTAGCTAGCTGACTCCAATCGGTGTGTATCGACTGGGCAGTGAATGCGCAGACAGAGTTTGCCCATGGCTTTCTCTGCACCACGCTGGAGGATAACTTGCTCCCACTTGGCATTGAGGGAAGCGCAGTGTCAGACACCGGCTACCTCGGGCTGCGAGCCAGGTTTGCCAGAGTGTGAGCCTGTGCGTCCCTGCAGGGTGCATATTGATCTTCAGAGCGCCAAGCGGCACTTTGGCTGTAGCTACAGCAGTGGATGGACATGACTGGGTTTTCACGAGGATTGAATGCGTGTTTTGGCTCGCCTAATATTTGGGGTGTTGCAGAGCCCGTTGCCTCCGGTTGCGAAGGACGCATGCTGTGAGCATGTAGGTCGTGTTACTGGGTGACAGTGTGTGTGTGTGTGTGCCCCTTTGCGGGGAGCGCAGACGGTGTGTTTTTAAGACACAACCTACTGGCTTTCTGGCCTGCCCTCAGGGTAGAGGCCTTTGAGATGAGGGAAAAAGACGGGGAGCTCTGAGGAAGAATTTTACTTGCGTACCTCCCTGAAGCCTCCAGAGGCTTAACAGTTGGAGAAGCAGCAATGCACAGACTCTAGAAGGTGTCTTAGACGCCTCGTGGATGCAAGCGCATTGACAGGGTGCGGCCCCCTTCCTATTTCGCCACCCCCCTCCACTCTGCCTCGGTGGGCCCCCCACTGGCTCCGGCCAGGCGTGCCTACTAGCATGCCCCCTCCTCGGTAGTCGTAGCGAGCCACGAGACACGGCAGGACTGACTGAGCCGGAGGATTAAAACGCATACACACGCACAGAGCAGCGCCTAAGCGCGCCCAGGCAGAGAGGACTTCATTTCCTAGCGCTGGGCACAGAATGCGCCCCCTTTACCGCAGTAGACCGCTCTGAACCCGTCCGGACGGCGTTTTAAGCATTATTTAGGCGATTCACGCTGGCAGGCGAGGCCAAGCAGAGCTCGAGGAGGGGGCCGTTCGTGGAGGCTGTAGCACCCTCGTGACGAGGGGGGGAGGGGACCCTGCGAGCGTGCATCCCTGAGATCTGCGAGCCTAATAATGCAATTGCACGCACTTTAATTCTATAGAACCCAAGCGCGCCGCAAAACTAGAGTCTAAGGCGGGCAACAAGGACAGGGGGCTGCCACCCTCCGCACGGTACACATGCTGTTACTCTTCGATCGTGGGCTGGAGGCTCCCAGTCCAGGCCCCTCGGAAGCGTCTGTCTCTCAGCCTTGGCGTCTCTCGAGGCTCTAAAATAAGAAACAAAGAGGACTTTGGTCTGCTTCCATCCCTTGTGCGCGTGTGGAAACTCACACTGCTCTTCTGTGGCAAACGCGCGGCAGCCGCTACCCAGGGGGGTCTCCCTCTGCTGACGAGCTGCGCCCTTTCACAGCTCCTTGGTCTGTAAGCCTCTTTGCGCAGCGGCTTGCACTCGATGCGCACTTTCTCGCTTCGTGCTGGGAGCTACATCGCGCTGCCTCCCCGAGCACTGGCCTTCACTCCTGCGCCTTCCTTGCCGGCTCTCGAAGAGGCACCCGCGACTGCTGCGACTTGAGCTTTTTCCCCCTGCATGCCCCACGTTCACTCCTTCCCTAGGGCCCCTCAGAAGCTGCGCACGCCGCCGAGTCGCAAGCAAGTCGGCTGCTGCGGCGCAGTGCCGCCACGAGCGCTAAAAGGGCTCGTCTTGCTGCTCCTCCTCCCTAGCTGAACACCCCAGGGAGTCTCCTCGAGGAACGGCGTGGCGAAGCCTTGCAACGCTTTTCCCCTCTTCCCCCCGCTGTGCCGGCTTTTTTCCCTCGTGTCTCACGCTGACGACGCGTAGGCTCCGTCAACACACATCCCCTAGAGGCATCTGACAGACCTCGCCCTCTTCCCGCCTCTCCCCTCCCGCCCCCTCTTCTCGTCGCTTGTTTCCCCTTCGCGGAACGCGCACTGCTCGGAGAAGGCTTTCTTCATCGAGGACCACACAAACACTGCTTCGAAATGGGCAGAAGCGACCAGCATCCCCAAGGGGGAGGCGGCAGCAGCAGGGCAGCCGCTGGAGGAAGGCGCTCGCCTTTTGTTACTGCGGGAAGCTGCCAGGGAGGGAATGGGGGCTCTGAGGGACGCTTCTCGTGCCCTCCAACCAACGCACAAGGCGGCGTAAGAGAGAGAGACACACACACACACACATCGGGCAGACTCCAGTCACGTCAAATGCACCACATCAGTCCCCCTGGTAGCGCGACCCTCTTCTCAGCTTCTCGAGAAACCCCCTTTTCGCTCCGTGCAAAAACATCTGGATTAGGCCTTCTCGCACCGCCTTCTCTCTAGGAGGCCCCCTTTCGCGGTTTGCACGTGTATGTGTGTATTTGTATATGTATGTGTATATGTATGTGTATATGTATGTGTATTTGTGTGTATTTGTGTATGTATGTGTATATGTGTGTATTTGTGTATGTATGTGTGTATGTATGTGTATTTGTGTATGTATGTGTGTATGTATGTGTATTTGTGTGTATTTGTGTATGTATGTGTATATGTGTGTATGTGTGTATTTGTGTATATGTGTGTACGTATGTGTATTTGTGTGTATGTATGTGTATATGTGTGTATTTGTGTATGTATGTGTGTACGTATGTGTATTTGTGTGTATTTGTGTATGTATGTGTGTACGTATGTGTATTTGTGTACGTATGTGTATTTGTGTGTATTTGTGTATGCGAATCTTGGACTGCGTCGCTTAAGCTGTTTTTGTTGCTGCTGCAGGCACGCGAGGGAGGCGTGAGATCTAGGAACCAATCTGCTCAGAGCCCTCAAAGGCCCTTGGGGGAGCGGCGAGGCTTTGGCGATAAGAAGGATGGCGGCTTTGCAGAAAGGCGAGAAGGAGATGGAGGGTCGAACGTGGGCGGAGGAGACCGACCTTCAGTCTTCCGCAGAGAATCGCAGCACCAGCATCAGCAGACAGGCGGTCGCCAAATGAATGCGTGGGTAAGTTGGTGCGGCGAGGGGTTGCGTTGGAGGGAGTGAACTGAGTTAATTTTGTTTAAAAAGCGCTCGAGCTCCTAGGCTGGCGCCTGCGGCAGCTTTCTGTGGAGTGAATCCGTGTGTGCTCCCCAAGCGATCTGCTGAGAGTAAATCCCCGTGGCTGTTGATCGATTTCGCACGCGCCTGCCCGAGCACCTGCTACCGCATGCATTCTGTGCTGGTGCGCGTTTAGGCCCTGCCACTGTCTTTCTTTCGCTGTTTCTCTGTTTTCTCTTTGATCGCTTTTTCTCCTTGTCTTCGCGTCTCTGCGGATGCGTGTCTGGTTCTGTCCGTGCCCTTTGGCAAGCGCGTGTGTGTGGCACTTCGAAGCTGCGGCGTCGCACGTGCACACTCTGCCCCCGTCCGTCTGTGCAGGGTCGAGTGGGGGGGGAATTCCGTCGTCACCACGGGGGTGGGGGGGCCCCCCAAGGGTCTTCCGGAGGGGCCTCTGAAGGCAGCGCGTCGGTGTTTCAGACAGACGCGCAGATTGCGGCGGCAAAGGCGGAGGCAGGGGGAGGAGGATGCTCTGGACTGAGACCTCTCGTTAGGTGGAATGGAGGGGGTAAGAAGGGATGCAACGGCTTCCTTTTGAGGGCTCCTCAGTCGGCCTGAAGATGTGTGCACACACACCTGTGCATGTACTATGTAGATACGTATGTACAGATTCTGTGTATACACACATGCATATTCGTGGGCATCCATATGCACACACACATCCATGTTTCTGCATTCACGAATTCAGAGGAATGCGCTGGCCTTAGGGAGAGTGGCGGCGTAGGTGCGCCCGTCTGCGCCTTTCTTGGAGAGGCACATGCTCGGTGGGCGTCTCCCTCTGTCACGGGGTGTGTATGTGTGGGGTGTTTTCTTAGACGCGGATGCGCCGCTGCAGACGCTGGAAGAGGCGGCCGGATGCGGCCCTGCTGGCGCACCCGCGTGGGATCAGTTCAAGGATAATCGAGAGCGTTTTGGCGTCTGTTCGACGTACAAGGAGGAGCTCTACACAACGCCTCTGGACAAGAGCAGCGTGCCGTTGCACCTGCGGGCTAAGGCGAACCGTCTGGCGAAGGAAATGGAAGCTGAGGCAGGATTGCGACACAAGGATTCGTTGTTAGAAGCCGATGGCGTGAGTGCTGAACAGATGACGCAATTCCGCGAGAGCGCTCCACCCCGAGGATGCCAAGGAAGGCGTGGGGAAGCCAGGCCGCTTACTGGCAGGAGCCAGGGAGGAGGGAAAAGGCGGATCGTTCTGCCGCTGCTGCGGTTCGTGCACGTCTGCTGCTGTATTCCTGTGTCGACGAGGTGTGCCACTGCTGCGTAACTGCTTTTTGCGCCTCCAGGAAGACGAGGAGGCCCTCTTCAGCGCCGTTCGAAACACGGGAGCTTACGCGCGCCGCCACGTGGGTGCTGCTGGACAAGTAGCTGTATCGCCAGCCTCGCTGCAGCAACAGCAACACGGATCTGCAGCAGCAGCAGCTGCTGCAGCACTAGACGGGCAGGCTGGGCCCTCTGCAGGGATGCGAGACGGGGGCGGTGGCAACAGTCGAGATGCAGACCCCCTCAATGCGCATCAGCAGCATCAGCATCAGCAGCAGCAACACAACACTCCCGCCATGAGGGCGATGATTACAGGTGGCTCGCCATCGAATCGGTAGGCATCAGGGCACTCAGGAGTGTGGCCTTCCTTCCGTGGCACCGTGCTCATATCTGTCTGTCTCTCTTCCTCTGTCTCTCTGTCTCTGTCTCTCTGTCTGTTCCCCATCCCTGTCTCTGTCTGTGTGCCGCCTCCTCTCCCCTCAGGTCGCCTGCTCTGCAAGCCTCCCGTGTGTTCAACGCACTCAATTTGGAGCATTCGTTGCCAAAGATTGACGAGCGCGCGCAGCAGGTGCGTGTGCAGGGGCCTTCCGCTTCCAGTGTCTCTTGTCTCGCGCTGGTTCTTATCCTGGAGCGCCCCCCCCTCTCTGCTTTGCTGCCGCCACGTGTCGGGAAGCTCCCTGCAGCCGTTCTTGCTTGAGCTCAGACTGTTCCCGGCGCTGCATGGCGTCTCGAGGCAGTCTCAAAGGTTCGACGTGCTGCGCATTTGCCTTCGCTGTCAGGTGTGGCTGCGCTTCAAGAAGAAGGCTGCGGAGGGTTCCTCCCCCGCGAAATGTGGGGACCGCAAGCAGCAAGAAAAGATGCAGCTGATCAACTCCTCTAAGCAGATCCAGCAGATTCTTGACGGGTGAGGCAGCAGAAAAACTCGTGCTCCCCGTCGGCTTGCTGTTGCTTTTGTTTTTTTGGTTCGTTGGGGAGGGTCTTCCGCGCAGCTCAGCTCAGCTTTCTCTTGCTTGCTGCAGTCGGCCTTTTTTTTCATGGGATTCGCATATTTGCATGCAAATGTGAATTTATACATGTATGACTGGTTGATGCTGCTGTCGCTTTGCCGGGGGTTGTGTCGTGACCCTTTGAACGCGCTGCTTTTTCCGAAGATTTGTGCTGCAGACGGAAAGTCGGCGTTGGTTTGCCGCCTGCTGCGCTAGCTGAGAGTGAGGGAAGGGATGCAACTCGAGACTCTGCGGGAACCTCCTCCGCTGCCAGTGCGTTGTTTGCCTGCTCTCCTAGCGGTGCGCTTGCCCTGTAGGGAGTGGGAATGTGGGTGTGTTTGCGTGGGGGGGCTGGAGAGGAGAGGAGAGGGGGTCGTAGCTGCAGACTCGCTGGTGTCTAGGTTTTTGCTGCTGTGCTGCCTTGGGTGGGGGTTTGGAAGAAGGCACTGGCTGGGATGGGGGCTTTCCTTCGATGTGCTGTCATTGCTGCTGCTGCGGTGCCAGCAGGAGGCGTACTGGCAGCAGCAGCAGCAGCAGCAGCAGACGCGGGGAGCGGTGCTGCAGATGGCCAGCAGCAGCAACAGCAGCAACAGCAGCAGCAACAACAGCAGCAGCAACAAGCGGCAACAGCAGCGGCAGCGGCGTCTCCTACTTCGAGCAACGGCGGGAAAAAGTGTTTCCAGTTCAACCCACACGCCAACTGCTTTACCCCCGCAACTCCCTCCTCGCATGCAGCAGCCGCTGCTGCCAGTTATCGCTTCGCTGCTGCAGGCAGCTCTGCCACGGGGTTGAATGGAATGAGTCGACAGAATGCGGGGATTCCCCAGCAGGCACCAGGACCCCCTCCTTTGCAGGGAGTCGCTGCCAGAGCGTCAGACGCAGCCGACAAGAATAACAGCACCAGTCAGCAGCAGCAGCAGCAGCAGCAGCAGCAGCCGGTTGCAGCAGCAGGAAGGGCTCCTCCTCCTCCGCAATCCCTCGCTGGAGGGGGGGCCCCCGCCTTGCATGTGCCGCCTCCGCCTTTGGGGGTGTATGGATCGGCGGGGAGTGCGGGGGGAGCTGCGCCTCAGGCGTATCGGGGCCCCTCCACTCCGGGGGGCCTCTTAGGAGATCCTTCCGAGGCAGCGCTTGTGGTGGATTCGACGGCTCTTGCGCTGGGGGGCACCTTTGGACCGGCGGAGGGCCCCCCTTTTGCGCATGCGGGGTACCCCATGGGCATGCCGGTGAGGCGGAAAGGGAACACGCGGAGGGAGAAGAGGGGAGGGCCGTGTAGAGCGGCGAACAGGAGCGGGAGGAGGAGTCAAAGGGGATAGGGAGAATAGTGAAGGCAAGGGGGAGAGGGAGAATAGTGAAGGCAGGGGGGAGAGGGAGAATAGTGAAGGCAGGGGGGAGAGGGAGAATAGTGAAGGCAAGGGGGAGAGGGAGTTAACACGAGGCTGTGTTGTTGCTGTCTGTGAGGGAGGCGGAAAGTTACGGTCAGGGCGATGGGGAAGGCGGTGCTTCTTGTGCGCCTCTTTTGCGAGTCGAAGCCGCCGGTTAGGGGGAGAGAGGGAGAGAGCCATGCGCTCGCGATAGGGGGCAAAAATGGCCTTCGGAAAGTGCTTGCTTCCTCGACGCATGCAGAGGCAGAATCCCGAGCCAAGGAGCAGCATGCAGGCTGAGCGGAAACCCGAGGATCTCTCTGAGAGTCGCCTCTTTTTTCGTGTGTGCTTGCGCTTGCTTTCGACGCATGCATGCAGCCGTATACGGTGCTGCCCCCTGGAACGGTTCAGCATCAGCCTGGGCCCCCTCCGCATCACCTCCGACCCGTGCTGCAGCAGGGAGGGGGGGCCCCTGTGGGCCAGCAGGGGGCCCCTGGGGGGTGCCCACGCCACATGGGGCCCCTCAAGCTCTCGCCCTTTGCGTCTCCTTATGAGCAGGTGTGCGAAGCCTTCACCGTAGTGGGCGGGGGGTCTGTTGCTTCCGCCGCCGCTTTGTTGCTGAGGAAAGAGGCGCGTGTGCAGGTTCGCGCGTGGCGAGTCACGAAGCCGCGTTTTTCTCGGAATGGGGCTTTTTTTGCATGCGGGTGCGTGTGTCTTTCTTCATACACGTCGCAGAAGGGCAAGGGACGCGCTGGCACTCCTCTGCACGGTCCAACGCTGTGGAGTTTTCTGAATTCTATTGCCGGCGCTCTGACGGAGCATGCCCCCCCTGAGGTCTCTGGGCCCGATTGGGAGCCACTTGGTGAGCTTTGAGGATTTTCGATTTTGTCGCTCGAGACGCTGGATATTAATATATATATATACATGTTTATGTATATTTATGTACATGTATGTTTATGTTTATGTATATTTATCTGGACACGACACTGGCGGAGGTGAAGGAACATGTGCATAGATGTGGGAGTGCCTTGTTTTGGGGGAGGCGGGAGGCGGGAGGGGGGCGTGTCTCGCTGGCAGCGGCAACGCTGTGTGTGGGGTTGTTGGGGCCTGGTGTTAGCGCCGTGGGGAGACGGAGGAGGCCCTTTTCAGCCTTCTTGCGGGGCAGCAGGTGCCCTTTCGCCCCCCTCCCTTCTCCCTTCGATGTCTCTTCTTGCGCTGTTGCCGCTTCTCTCGACTGCGCTGTGAAGGCGGTGCCATCTTTCTTGCTCTGGGGATGGCCATGCCCCCCTTCCCCCTTTTGCACCCTTTCCCCTGCTGCCAAAGCGCACGCAAAGCTGAGGGCTGCTGGAGGAGGAGCTCAGGCTTGCATGCGCCGCGTTTTTCCTTCCTGCAGGCGAGCAGTCCTACACGGAAATATGGAGCGACGCCCCCTCGGGATCTCCCTATGCCGTTCCTTCCATGGAAGGCATGGGGTCTCTGGCGCCTCCGTTTCCCCGTAGGCTAAGCAGCCACCCTAGCCTTCTTCCTTCAAAAATCTGAACGTGCTCCCTGTCTGCCCCTCGGGAAAGAGAACCCTTTGGTGTGGGCGCGAGCCAGTGGGTGTGTGTCGTGTGTGTGTTGGTGCGGCTGGCGCCTTTGTGCTGCATGTGCAGTGCGGCTGCACCGCCCGTCAGTCCCTACGTCTCCCCTCTTCGGCTTTGGACAGCCGCTGCTCCTCCCGAACGCCGCCTTAGGGGGCCCCCCAGGGGCCCCCGGCTCGCTGCCCTATCCCGTGATGTACGCGGCGGCCCCCCAGCTGCCCCCCGGGCACCCGTATGCGCTTTTGTCTGTTGCCACGGCGGGGCCCCCACAGCAGCAGCAGGAACAACAACAACCGCAGCAGCAGCAGCAGCAGCAGCAGCAGCAGCAGCAGCAGCAGCAGCACCCTGCATCGCATCTAGGGTCCACGGGCAAGCAGCCGAGGCACCAGCACCAGGGAGGGGTGTCTCCCAACGCGCATCAGCAGCAGCAGCAGCAGCACCAAGAGGCTGCAGGGTCTGACGATGCAGCCTCCTCGCCTACCCCCACACAGCAAGGTCCACGCGGCGCTGGGGTGTCTCCCCACCTGGGAGGCCGTGGAGGGGGGGGCCCCGGGGGGGCCCCCGGGGGTCATAAGGGGCCCTCGCACAAGGCTGGCCTTCATGGAAGCAGGGTGAGTTTCGCGGCGCAGTGCAGGCGGTAGCAGGGAAGCAGCAGCAGAAGTTGCTGCCACAGGAGGAGGTCGGAGGGGTCCTTGCTGCCTCGAGGGTGTGCAACGCGACGCTGGAGGGGATGCTTCCTTGTGCTTCTGTCTCGCTTTCTGCGCAGCACCAGCAGCAGCAGTACCAGCAGCAGCAGATGCACGTGCGTGGAGGCGGCCCCTTCGTGCCTGGGGGAGGCGCGCAGCAGCAGCAGCAGCTGCTGCTGCACCACCATGGCACCGTCTCCTCGATCGGAGGAGGGCAGGGTGCCCCTGGAGCAGCATCCACTCCTATCCCCTCTCCTCACCCCTCAGTGGCCGTTGTCTCACCGGTGTCAGCCGGAGGGGGGCCCCCTGCAGACCCTGCAGAAGCCCCTAGTGGGCCCTCGCCGCCTCCGCAGCCAAGCGGCAGCAACGGCACTTCGCTGAGGGGGGCCCCCCTGGACTTGGCATGCCCCTGAGGGGTAAGCGCAGGTCCAGTAGTTGGGGAGTTCGCGCTCGAGTGAGGAGGCTGCCTGAGGCGGGTTGGCAACCCCACTGTACAATAGCCGTAACTGCTGCTGCGGCAGCTGCAGGGGAGTGCAGAGAAAAGCAGTCGCTTTGCAGCGCGATAGCGGCCTGCGTGGTGGTTGCTGGGCTGCAGGAGGAAGCGTGGCGGTTCCTTGAGATTAGCCACATTTAGCTCGTTTCGACGAAGAAGCGGCGTAGATGGCGGAACGGAGGTAGACATACATACACACACAGACACAGACACAGACACACACTAGAGGCCTCACGACACACAGCAGGGCAGCCATCAAAGCTGCGCTGAGGCAAAGGGGCTCTGGATGTTCAAGAGTTTTCAGACAAAGCTTCCAGTAACTGGAGGGCACGGCGAACTAAAACGGCCTGCAGTTTCGGCTGCTCTTGTCTCTCGTCGCCCTTCAAAGAGCCGTCGAGGCCATGAGGGGCCCTCTTCTCGCCTCCAGCTGAGGTTAGCGCACTTGCAGGCAGGAAGGCGACACTCCACAGCCACTGCTGCTGCTGCTGCACGGCGGGAAGTCCACCCTCTCACTTGCGGCTGTATGAGGCCTCACTTGCGGCTGTATGAGGCCCCACTTGCGGCTGTATGAGGCCCCACTTGCTGCTGTATGAGGCCCCACTTGCTGCTGTATGAGGCCTCACTTGCTGCTGTAAGAGGCCTCACTTGCGGCTGTATGAGCGCCCCCGTGCAGCGCCTTAGACCGGCAGCTGCTGCAATGGCGGGGCCCACCCAATTACAGCAGCATGTAACAAGCCCTTGCCCACCCCTGGCGCTGCTGCTCTCACGCACAGACTCAGATGCTCCATGTCGTTCCCTCTCAAGCCCCCGAGGGGCCTTCTCCCCAAGTGCGCGAAGTGTAGAGGGAGGGGGCGAGGAAAAGAGACACGCGAGGGGGAAAAGTAGGGGCCTCCCGTTCGTTCGTCGTTGCGATAAAGTGCCTCCCAGTGCCGACCAACTAGCGAGTCGTGCAGCTGCCGCTCTCTCTGCGCCGCAAAGGAGGGGGGCCGTTTCTTCTAGACTACGAGCTAGCCGTTTCGAGCATTCGCCTGCGTCGTGCAGCAGCAGGGGCATGCCCCAATATCTATCGGACTGCCCCGTGCAAACCTGCAAGCAGCCAGGCTTACTGCGCCTCGCAGATATTTACGCCCTTCGTTCTCAGCCCGTGCCCCCTCGAGAGTCGCCGAAGGAAGGCAGCCAAAGATTCGCACTGTGCGCCTTTTCCCACCGTGTCTCTGCCGACGGCAGAGCGGCGTCGACAGACCCTTCTCTCGCAGAGGGGGACCTCCCCAAAAAACAGCCGCTGCGGAGGCGGAAGCCCCTTCACAACGGCCCGCTGCCTATTGTCTTCTGCCTCGCCTCCCCTTGTGGATGGATTCTTGCAAAGGACGCTGCCGCCCTCCTACTGCGCAAGTCTCCCAAAGCCTCCTCTACCGGAAGCCTGTGCACGCACTGCAGCTCGAGCTTTCGAACCCTAGCCTAGAAAGGGCCAGCAGGAGGAGGCACGTGCGCTGGGCAGGCAAACAATCACTGAGGCGGCGTTTAGAAGGAGCCTGAGGATGCAGCCACGTGACGCCCTCTAAGGCGCTCGAGGATTCTAACTAACCCTATGAATGTTCGCACGTTGAACGCGCGGCTTCATAATGCCCACCGACGGGGAGGAGTGCACAGCCCACACTAAGTTGCAGCTCTCTCCGCTTCTTGAGTGGCTGTCGGAGCCACACGCCCTCCCGCCCAAATCCCCACACTTCCCCCCTTTTCTCCCCCCTCCGCTGGCGCTTCCACTCCGCCCCCTTTTCTCCCCCCTCGACCACTCGGCCCTCTTCTGCCCGCGACGCTGCCAGTGATCTCCCCTTTACGACCACCCTGTCACTATGGAAGCGCTGTTGGCACTCCGGTCCGTTTTCTCCCCCTGCAGACGCTGCTTTCGCTTCTGCCTGCCCCCTGCTGCTAGTGCAGCATCCCCTGTTTTCGCATCAAATTCTGAGCAAGCCAAGCCTACGGTTCCCTCCCCAAAAGCGACACCTCTGAGCGACCCTCAAACACCACCTGCTGGCCACATACGCCCTCAGTGGCTGGCTGCAGCTCCTGCTGCAGCTCGTCTACTGCGTCGCATTTACTGCCTGGCAAGAGCTGCACAGTCTGAACTTCGCCGTCCACGCCGTCGCGCTCTGCCCCGGGAAGCCTCGAGTTCGTTCTGTGCTTCTTTCTTGGCGGAACCCGAAGCGCCGCTGACGAGGCGCTCGGCGAAGGGGCCCCTCCTCCGGGGGCCCTCGCACGCCGAGGGTACGGCGAAGATCGGAGAGTTCGGGCAGGAGCGGCTGCACGCGCATCCCCCTCGGCAGGCGCTGCCGCCGCTTCTGCTGCTGCGGCTGCTGAAGGCGCAGGCACAAGGGGAGGAGGCGCAACTTCTCCGTTCGGCAGAGGTTCTGCGAGAATCCTTGAGGAGAAATCCTCTGCGGGTGCCGTCAAGGGCCTCATGGAGGGAGGGGGCCCCCCCCTCTGCGGCTGGGGGCCCTCTACGGCATCGCGCGTCAAAACACTGCCAAAAACTGGCCCTGCGCAGCGCCACGCGATTGGGAAAAGACCCACAAGAAAAAGTTCGGGAGGCAGCACGTGCGTGCCAAGTCTGCAGCAGCCACTGACAGACACACACGCAGCAGCACGCGGAGAGGCAGGCAGCAGGAAGGCCAAGGCGGGGAGACTGACGACGAGCCGTTGCAGCAAGCAGCAGCGGCGACTGCGCAAGCGACAGCAGCCTTCGGCGCCAAGCGGCTTACCCATCATGGCTCCAAGCTGCTCCATGATGGAGATCTCCTTGTCTACGAGTCGCACTCGAACGCGTCTCCCGAAGGCGACACGCCGCCGCGACTGCTGCTGCGCAGCTTCGCCGGGCTGCGACTGCTGCTGCGCTCCTCCCAGGAGGGGGGGGCCCCCCGGAGTGCTCGCTGCCACGGCGGCACCGTCGCGCGTGCTCACACTGAGGCAGCTCTTGAGGGGGGGGGCCCCCGGGGGGCCTCTAGCCGCGGCAGCACCCCCTCCGGCCTGCGCAGACAGCGCCGCTTTCGCTGCTTCACGCCGCTCGTGCAACGCCCCTCCGCTTTGCGCCGCTGCCGATGCGAAATCCGCAGCAGCAGCGGCAGCGGCAGCAGCAGCCCTCCGTTGCTCCTTCCCCCCCCCTCCTGCCTCAGAGGCATCGTCTCCCTCGCCAGACTCAAGCCGCAACAGCCCGTCTGCGAGGTTGCAGCCGTCAGCAGTCTCCGCCTGCGGCAGGCTGTGCCTTGCTGCCTCCTCAAGCAGCGCAACGGACTCTGCACGCTGCGTCGCTGCGCAGCAACGCATGCCTCGAGCACGCTTCTCCAAAGGCAGCAGCCCCTCAGAGGAGTCGCTGCCACGAGAGACGCCCTCAAGAGAGCCGCTATCGGGAAACCGCTCCTCCAAGGGGGCTGGCACCAGTTCAATCCAGTAGTCTGCCCGGGGGTCGCATGCAGGCGTTTGGAAATCTTGCCGAAGAGCCGCAAGTTTAGGATCTGCCGCAGAGCCTGGATGCACTTGCTTGACATGCCTCTTGAGGGAGGAAAACGAAGAGTCAACGTAGGGGCAGATGGCGCAATGGTAGTGGCAAAGAGGGGCGGGAAGGGCCCCCCGACGGGGGCCCCCCCCCGGGGCCCCTCCCGAATAAGGCCCTTCCGCCTGCTGGGGCCCCTGCACACTCAGTGCAAAGCGACGTGTTCGAGGATTCGAGCGCAAAGAAAGTGAAGATTTCCTGCAGGAAGCCGCTGCGTCGCATTCATTGCCAGCTGCTGCAACCCCTAAAGCGGAGGCAGCGGGGGGGCCCCCATTAGACCCTTTAAGGGATAGTTCTGCTGCTACTTCTGTTTCTGCTGCTTCTACTGTTTCTGCTGCTGCTGCTTCTGTTTCTGCTGCTGCTGCTTCTGTTTCTGCTGCTGTTTCTACTGTTTCTGCTGCTGCTGCTTCTACTGTTTCTGCTGCTGCTACTTCTGTTTCTGCTGCTTCTGTTTCTGCTGCTGCTGCTACTTCTGTTTCTGCTGCTGCTGTTTCTACTGTTTCTGCTGCTGTTTCTACTGTTTCTGCTGCTGCTGTTTCTACTGTTTCTGCTGCAGTGTCTAGGGGGCCTGCATGCGCGAAGGCTGCATGCGTTGCTGCTGGCTCTTCTGCTTTTGGCGACTCCGTAGAATGATCCTGCAGGGCCCCCGCCCGCCCCCCACGCCGCGCACAGAACCCGCGAGCAGATGCATGCATCAGCGTGCGACAAGCAACTGGAACCAGCAGCCTCGCCTAGAAGCTACAGAGGAGCCGTGCTGGTAGCGGCCTCGTGCAGAGCAGTGCAGCAGGGCTAGTGCAGCGGCGCTGGCAAAAGGGAGATGCAGAAAGCCGCTCTACCCCCGCTTGAACACAAGCGGGATCGCCCAAAGGGAAGAAAACATAGATGTGCATGCACACAGGCATGCGTAGGATGGGGAGGCGCTCACCAGTCTGCACGGAAAGCATACGAAGGCTCCCAAGTAGCGTCGACGCCTCCAGTGGTAAGAGACGTAGTGTTTGTAATTGCGGAGGTACAAATCGGGGGTCCAAGCGGCAGGGGCGCAGAGGGGGCATTCAAATCGCTGCGCGTGGCGCCGGCTCTGGAGCAGCTGGGGGGCCCCCACTGCATGCATCCCTTCGATACGCAGAGGCAGCACTGGGGCCCTCAGCAGCTCCGCGGCTGTCTTCGCAGGGATGGCGGCTGCAGCAGCTGCAGCCGCCGCCAGCAGCTCCTCCTCGTTGCTGCAGCTGCCTTCCGACGCAGATTCGGAAGTCACAGAGGGCGACTTGCCAGGCTCGTCTGCCTCGAGCGCTTCTGCCCCGGGGGGGCCCCCGCCGCGCGCTGCGGGGGCCCTCGGCCTGGAGGGCCCCCCGGGGCCCTGGGGGGGCCTCTTGGGGCGTCTGGCTAAGGCTTTCTGCAGCTCCCGCTTGCGCGGAGACGGACTGCGAGCTTCCGCTGCGTTTCGAGGGGCCCCCGTCTCGAGAGAAGGGGAGGGGGGGGCCCCCGCCGACGACGGCCGAGGCGGCGTCTCCTCCTTGGGGGCCCTCGAAACCGAGCCGCGCTCAGGGAGGGGCCCCCCGGTCGGCGCTTTCCCCTGCCCCGCTAAGAGCCTCGAAGGAGGAACGCGAAGCCTTGCGGGGGGGGAGGAAGGCACTGCTTGCGGCGAGCAGGATGCAGGAGCCGCACCAGCCGAGAAGCAGGGCTGGTTCAGTCCAGTTTCTGCATGCACAAGGGCGTGCCAAGGAAGCTCTGCTCCAGCAGGAGGCGTCAAGGGCTGTACGGCATCCACTCTGGAGGCGTGCCGCTGCCTTCGCAGCAGCTGCAAAAGCCGCAGCGACTCTGCCGCTAGCTCTTCTAGCGAGCGAGAATGCGGTGGACGCGGCGGGGGCCCCCGGGGGGGCCTCAAGAGGCCCTCGGGGGGGGGAGATCGCTGCGAAGGGGGGGGGCCCCCCGGCGTCTGCGCGGGCCACCCTGCAGGGAGCTGCAGCGCCGGCTGAGGAGGGGCCCCTCGAGGAGGAGAGGGCAAAAAAGGGGATCTCGCTCCAGCGTGAGCTCCATGGTGCTGCTGGTGACTTAAGGCTTGTAAGACCCTTAGCGCATGCAAGGCAGGTGTTGCCTCGGGCTGCTCCGCAGTCTCCATTTGCTGCTGCATTTGCTGCTGCTGCATTTGTTGCTGCTGCATTTGTTGCTGCTGCATTTGTTGCTGCTGCTGCATTTGTTGCTGCTGCTGCATTTGTTGCTGCTGCTGCATTTGTTGCTGCTGCTGCATTTGTTGCTGCTGCTGCATTTGTTGCTGCTGTTGGATCTGCGGTGACGATGAGGACCCCTGCTGCAGCGTTTGGGGAAGGTTTCCCAGTAGAAGCGAAGGTCTCGTCGCAGCCAGTGCCAAAGCCAGACGGCGAACCTCCGCAAGTCTCAGCAGAGACGCAGCGGAAAGCTGGAGCGCGCCTGGAGTCGACGCTGTCTGGGGGGGGGGCGTGCCTTGGCTTGGAGAAGACGCCAGGGGCTGCTGCAGGAGCTGCTGCAGCTGGCCGTATAGCCGCAGCTGCTGGCGCATGCGCTCCAGCATAGGGGTCACTTGTCTTTCGGGGGGGCCCCTAGACTGAGCCTCGAGGCTCTGAGAAGCAGGAGACGAGGCGGGGGCCTCATCTTGAGCGACCATTGCCATTGTGTGTGGGGGGGCCCCCGATCACTGGACCTCCTTCGAGCCCAAGACTTCACGGGAGGCCCCCTTTTTAGGAAAGTGAGAGGAGCGAACCGGCAGACATTTCTCGCCGTTGCGCCCGTGCAGACTAACACATCCTCCCGCGATGCAGCGGGAAGCCGCGGAGCTCAGAGGGGCCCCCTTGCTGCACAGGGAGGCGCTGCACCCGAGTAGGCATCCTTTTGCAACGGCGCTCGCAGCAAGCCGCCAAGGGGCTCAATGGGCAACAAGCGAAGCCCCGAGGCCTTATAAAAGGGGCTGAGTCGCGTTTGGCGTGCGTCGTGAAAAGAAGCACGAAACGAGCAATGTGCCTTTGACGAGCAACTGACCACGGACTGCAGATGCGCAGCCTGCAGACCGCTGCGGAGGAAGGCGGATGCAATGACGTTAAAGCAGAGCTGCAAGAAGCCCCATGAGCACTCAAGGTACCAGAGGCGAAAGTAGGCCAAAGATGGTTCTACAGGATGAGCGCCCGCCTGCCTGGAGAGGCGCTGCCTGGGCGGCACAGACAAGACAGAAATACCTCGCCTCGCCCTCTGTGGGCAATGCCTATAGCGGAGGAAATCTTAATGCATGCAAAATACAAAAACAGGGAAATAGGGTGAGGGAGCACTGCCCAGCATGTGGATGGATGGGTGTGGACATTCCCGCAAATGTGTGAGCGACTGCAGTGGGTTCCCAAAGGCATATGCGCGCTTCCGGGCTCAAAACATTGGCTAAAGCGTCCTACGGGCCTACTCAAAAAACTGAAGCCCTTTGGAAGGAATTATACGGTAGAGAGTAGCTTCTAAACATGTGGGGCAAAGGCATGCATGTTGCTACGCTCCGCTGGTCGGGCCGACTCCTCGATTGTCCAACGTGTCAGGGCTTATCACAGGATCGCCTGTGGTGCAACCTTTAGTGCTAAATTGACACCTCTGCCTATGAATCGTTGTGTTTCAGGCCGACTAAGCACTGACCCCGAGTGCGCCCTCACTGCCGTAGTTGCACGCATCATGGAGAGTGCACACAAAAAATATTTGATGGTCATGTCTTCGCAAAATAAATAGAGCTAATATAAAGACTTGGTAAAATGGAACTTGACTCATTCGACGGCTTTTTGGGTGCAGGTTGAAACATCTTAGGGCGTTCCCCAACTTGGTCAGAATATTCTCAGTGATATGATTGAACGATAGCCCAACCTAGAGCTTTTACATGGCCTTCTAAAAGAGATGTAGCTCGCATATAGGTGGATGTTCCCCTCAGTGCCGCATGACTGCACATACACCTCAGAGTCTGTTGAGTCATCATGAGCACACCAGCTCAGGATTATGGGAAAGCTTTGCAAAATTAGCATACCATGAACGCGAACACATTTTATTTAAGATGCAACTCTACTATCCAACCTTTTTTAACGTTCTTGGGCTCCTGCAAGTGGCTGCCATGCGAGATTATCCAAACGAGTTGCGAGGTCGAATCATAGCAGCCCGCAGCAACGCGCTTCCCCTAACTCCAGCATTGTATCAAGAGCTTCTTCAGCTGGAGGAGCGGCTCCCGATCGAGCCATACGCAGGCGTTATTGGCCAGCCGAAGCCTCCTGCCGCACCCTCAAAACCAGATGGAGCAACCTCGTCTGCAGTTCAGGAAACCGAGTCCCAACAAACGAACGGCGGCATGCAGTTTACAAATAAACCTTACATGTACACCCTTGTTGCATTCTGTGTGGCATTCGGCGTGGGCTACCTCTATCTTCCGGTGAGCTTCCTCCCCATCTGCTCTACAACGTTGTTCACATGAAGTTGTCTCTTCACTGGACTCGTAGTTTGTTGCCAATAGCTCCTCGGTAAGCTGACGATCTACTCCAGGCTTGAAGAAAGCAGACCCCACGATATATATATATATAGTGGGAAAAGGGATTCCTCGTGGTGACTGCCGGCTTGTTGGCCTTCTACGCCTCTGTCGCGGCTTTCATCAACTTCGGTGTCAGGTAGGCCAGAACGCAACTGATTGATGAAGCGCTGTTAACCTATCTGTATGCCATGCAGCCCCACTATTGGGTTGCCCCTTTCATTTTTGTTTCTTCTGGCGGCTCTTGGTGAGTGACGCTTTGAAACCGTGACAGGCGCAAGGATCAACTCTGCGGTGCTTCAGTGGGATCAATTTACTTCGATCAAATTGTTGGTTAGTGAAGCTACAAAGTTCCTGCGTTAAGGCCTATGCTAATTTGCGTTGCCCCCCAGGATGGTCAGTGCCATTCAAGTTTCAACAACTCCCACGCATGACATCCCGCTGACTTGCAGGAGCATTATCCTCTTCTTCTCGTACTACTTGTTCATAACGCTCTTGTGTGAGATATAATGCCCACTGAATGCTGTCTCGATAGCCCCGCAGCACAAATCCTCTTGCAGATAATATGACGGTAGCTCTGGTTTTTTGAAGCGCAAAACGCCAGTTGCGATGACGCCGTCGCAGGCATTCATGTTCGGCTCCCGCTACGGTCTGCTGGGCCTTATACCCACATTCACCACCATGAGCCCGATGATCCAAAAGCTAATCTGTGAGTTGTTATGCACAAACAGTGTACTATATTTCTTCGTTCATCGAGTTCCTGCACCAGATGGTCTCGCCACAGCCACTGCAGCTGCCTGCTGGTTCTTCATGCAAGTTGCACGCAGCGAGGTAGGCGCGCTTCAGAAACGTGACTCGCCCGTTGTCATCACTGCTGCATGCTTCTTTCAGGCCAAAGATCTACCGCCGCGAGTCAATAGGAACTTTATTTCGTCATGCGTCTGCGCCGGACTAGGCATTTCACAGTTAGTCTACCCGTGCGCTTTGCAAGGATTTGTTCTAAATACGCCGTTCGAAGTATGTCTGCTACATACCTCAAGATATCTGAATGGTTTAATGGTCGAATCCACTTTATACGTTTGCTCAGCCTGTCGGATTCTTCGATATTCCCGGTACCGCACACTCAGACGCGTGAAGCGCTCTTTCCACCGTGCAGTTTGAGTGTTTTCAGTCAAGTTTGATTACTTTGCAATCGAAAACTTCACAGTCTTGGTAAGTCTCCAGTAGAACAAAAAATCAGACTGCTTATGTGTATTCCCAACCGTGTAGATCTTGCTTGTTGTGTTTGGCATTTCTGGATACCAAGTGCAACAGAAGCGAGACAAGCTGCCTCTGCTGATGGCGAACACGTCAGACTCTCTTGTCGCACAACCCATTGTGGAGTAGCGAGCTGTTGCTTTTCAAACAGCGATAGACCGCTGCGTTAATGAGAACGGTACATATACGGAGCACTCGATCACTTCGAGACACACTGGCGAGAGTCTGCGTCGGCAGACTGTTGAGACACGCTGCCCAGCCCGGCCTTAGAGGGGCCTTCTAGCGACCCTCAGTGCAGAAGGCGCGTACAGCTCTTACTGAGTGCTTTCTTCTCACATAGTTGGCGGCTGGCACTTGGTGCTGGTGGGAGGCAGGGCATTGGAAAAGCCGGCGATTGGGGTTGTTAGAGTCACCCAGCGTCTAAAGGGGGCCAAAAAAGGGTGGCAATCCTTTGGAGATTCGGAAATGCCCCCTACACTGCATCGAGAGTGCATGTTCTTTGGTTGCGAAATAGAAGACAGTGTGCACCACGCATCCAGGCTACGGAAGCTCCTCACGCTTCGGCCAGTGGGTGTAAGGCACGAACAAAAAAAGTATCGCTGCATTGAGGCGCATCCGCAAGCGGACGCAGTCTTCCCTCATGGAAGTATTTGCCCAGCGAAGTGTTTTGCAAATATTTTTCCTGCATATATGGGAAGCCAGCGCCGTGAGTGCGGGGGTCAGGGGTCACCCAGCCAAGTTGCCCAGTGGTAGTAGACGCACCCCACCATGGATAGGAGGAAGTTGTCAACGTCGCGTGTGTAAGCCTGCGAAGGGCAGCAGTGGAAGCGCGTGCAGCGAGTTGGATGTGGCGAGCAGCAAGCAGTCATGCCCGAGAGCAGCGTGTAGCGTGCAAGAAGGGCGGGGGGGCTGTAGACGCGCGACGGCGCAGCCCGACCTCGTTGGCAAGCAAGCACGTGGAATCGGCGCGAACGTCGTGGTGTCTCCCCACCTCGAAAAGGCCAGCTGCTCCGATGGCTGTTAGGAGGGCTCGTGAGTTTCTCGGCGAAGCCTGCAGCGCACGTCAGAGCGGCACGGGGAGGGGGAGCAGGAGGCGTCGCTGCACAGGAGGGGGCGCCTCGACCAGCAGTGGCGCTGCGAGGCGAGGCAGCGCGAAAGAAGCCGGGAGAAAGGGGCCCCTGCCTAGAGGCCTCACCACGTCGAAGCGAGCGAACACCCAGGAGCCGAAGCTCCAGCTGCTGAGCACGAAAGCGCCCAAGCCTGCAAGCGTCTTGTTGGAGCGCGGCAGCGAAGGCGAAGGGCAGTGCGACCCCACCAGCGCAGCCATCGAGTCTCCCACGCCGACCAGCACAACCCCCAGCAAGCAGGGGGCCCCCCTGCCCCCCTCGATGCCTTGTCGCGCGAGGCACGCAGTGGTCAGACAAGGCACTGCCACGCCTGCCGCGAGGTGCACGTGGGTGAGAACGAGCCCGTGAGCGTCTCTGGCGTCGGCGAATTCGGCGTACACTGCACCGACACACTGCGAAAAGCGGGGGAATACTTCGCACGCGCGGAGAGCCTCTACCGCGACGAGCAGCCAGAGGAGGCCCCCCAAGACGAGCACGCAGAGAGCCTCGTCCTTCGCGTCGAGCACCAGCAAGACGTTTACGACAAGGAGGAAATGGAAGAGCTTGCGCAGGGGAGACGGCACAGCCGGCTGCGCCGGCTCCCCTGCGCAGGCTCTTCCCTTTGCTGCCGTCTTCTGCCTGCCGCCGTCCTGAGCTGCCGCTGCGGGGAGGGGATGCACGGACGCAGCAGCCTTCTTCTGCCTGCTGAGAGCTGCCAAAAGGAAAGCCGTCGCGACGCCTGCAGCGGAGACGACGAGCAGCATGCCCGTCACTCTTGCGCGCCTCCCCTCGAAGCCCACAAAGAAGAGCAGCCACACGAGGGGGGCTCGCGACACTTCTGCCGAGGCGGCGATGCACGGGGAGCGCCCAAAGAGCAGGAAGGCTCCCTCCAGGAGGGCGAAGGCGCAGAAAACGAGTGGTCGATAGAGCGCTTTCGCGCTTGAGGGGGCCCCCCCCCCGACGCCCACAAGCAAGAGGAAACAGAGGCAAAAGAGCGGGAAGAAGGTGCCCGAGAGAAAGGCGGCGACCTCCCCACCGAGAGGCGCAGCAGATTCCCCAGCGGCGCTCCCAGCCTCGAGGCTGGGAGCGACGGGGGGCCCCCTGGGGGCCCCCCTGGGGGCCCCCGCTGCGAAGAAGCCCACGGCGGCTGCAGCGGCCAGTTGCGTGAACGCAGAAGCCTCCGAAAAGGAGAGCGTCTTCCGCCCCGCAGGGTGGCGGCTCCAGCGCTGCATTACCAGGCAGTACGCAACGCACGACCACATGCCTATCCAGGGATGCGAATGCCATCCTGGAGAGCCGAAGAGGCACTCGTAGGCTGCCCAGGAGGCCCCTAGCAGGAGCAGCTCGCGGAAGCGACAGCAGCAGCCGCGGTGTTCACGAAGCGCAGTCCACTGGATGCTCGCAGCGGCGAGCGCGGAGGGCAGTTCCCTCATCACACCGAGCAAGGAGGACGAGGAGGCGGCTGTTTCTGCCGAGCAGCAGGCGAGAAAGAGAGGCACGAGGAAAATGCCGACGACGTAGGAGGCAGCGTGCGGCGTCCTCCGAGGAGAAGAAGGGGGGACTGTCGCGGGAGGAGCCGCAGACGCCGCATGCGTGGCAGCGTCTTCGGGAGCTCCCCTTTCTCGGCTCCCCTTCAGGCCGCCTCTACGCGCATGCAGGGCTTCCTCGGGAAGAGACGCCGCCTCGCGAGGCAGACAGCCAGCCACGAAGCCAGTGGCTGCTCCCCAGAGGAGCGGTGGCAGCGGCAAGTGTGCGAAGGAGGGGGCCCCCGCGACGACAGCGCACCCGAGAGGCAGGAGGACGAGAAAGTCGTCCACTCCACAGACCTTCCAGAGGTTCGTGAAAAGCGGCTCGCAGAGAGGCGACGGCGACAGCACTGGCAGCACTTCCTGCGGAAGGCTCGTCTCTCGAGGGTGCGTTTTGCGCTCTCCCGCCAAAGGCAGAGGGCCCCCACGACTGAAGGCTCCCCCCGCTGCGCCTCGGCTGCGAACGCGTCTTTCCTGCCGCCGCAGCATCGTTTCAAAGGGGAAGGGAGGGGAGGGAGGAAAAGCGACGCTGAATGCGTTTTAAACACGCGATTTAGCAGGGGGCCCCCTGCCGCCTCCCCCTCAAACGCGAACGACTGACCAACCCCCCCGCTCGCCTCTGTCTGCCCCTGTCAGGACACCCCAGTGGTTCTGCTGCGCAGCCGTCTGTCTCGCAAAGAAGGGCAGTGCACATATTGCTCTATATTTAATTATATATGTGTATTTATTTAAAAAGCGGTCGGCGAAAGCGTGCTCGGCGGCGGGGGAGGCCTGCTGCGGGCGGGAAGGAAGACGCGCGAGCGACAGCGAAGGGGGGGCCCCCCCCTTTTTGACCCTCGGGTATGAGGAAAGGGTTGACACTAGGGGCCCCCTCAACAATAGGCGCGCTCCTCCTCTGCAGACCTCTTTACTGACGACTGAAACGCTTTTTTCCACGCAAGTGCAGGCACTGTGTGCCTCAGTTTCGCTGGCTGTATCTGTCTGTGTCTGCATGTGTTTTTGCGCGGGAAGGGCACTGCCGTTTCGACGCTTGCACGTTGCACTGGGCTGCCTCTGGGGTGTCTGCGGCAGCGTTGCCGCTTCTGCGCTTGCCAGCAGCAGCAGCTGCTCGATCCCTTCTCCAGACGGGGTGCTGAGGGGTTCCCCACTCCCACGCCTTCTGCTCTTTTCTTCCGAGGCTTCTGCGATCCGGCGAAGAACGAAGGCGCCGCTGAGGCTGTCTGGCTGCTGCCAGCTACCGCAGGCGGGGCCCCTTTCGCCAGCACCGTCTTCCCATGGGGCCCCTCACTGCAGGGGCCCCCGAGGAGGGGGGCCCCTCCTCCTCGCTCAGTTCTCCTCGTAGGGAAGACACTTCTGAACTTTTGCATCTTTTTCTCAAGGCGTGCGAGGCGCTGCCGACGATCTTAGAAACAGCGGCGCAGACAGTCGTTTCGAAAGCCGCTGCACACAGCGCTGCAGAGGAGGGGCCCCCCCCTCTTCCGACAGCCTTCCTCCCTGAGGTGTCTGTACACCTCCCCCGCATCCTGCGTTCGTGGTTACAGAAAGCCTGCGCAGCTCTCTGGCCGCTTCTCGAGAATCCCGAGCTTCATGAAGGCGCTCTCAAGCACGTGGCTGCTGTCTTGCAGCGGCACACCGTCGCAAGTATCTCCCGAGACTTCTGGAGATTCTGCGACGCGACAGTCCTCGCCGCTGCAGCCGCAGCAGCAGACGCCGACGACGACAATGGCGATGAAGACGACAACAACAACCCCCGCAGCAGCATCGCCTGCTGCACAGGGGTGCTCTCTGTGTCTGCGAGACACGTGGAAAGCTGCATGCACCGCTGCGTCTTCAAGGCGTATCTTCAGCTCGCATTTGCTCTGGAGACTCTTGCCGTTCTCACGGCTCATAGGGAGGAGTCAGGGGAAGGCGACGGCTGCTGCAGCACGCAGCACGCTCCTCTGTGCTGCTGCTGCCCTTACAAGAACGTTGCTGCAGCGTTCGTCGAGCTGACACAACACGCCGTTGCATCAGCCCAGCCTCCCCACGCGGAAACCCTCTTGCGCATGCTGCTGAGGTGCCACATGAAGCGTTTTGCTGCTGCAGTTGCAGTGGGTGTCGCTGCTGATGTGGCCATTCAAGAGACAGCAGACGAGCAGACGGGCAGACAGCAGCCTGCGAGACTCGGCACTATTCGCGCGCTTGCCACGCTGCTGCAGCAACTGCAGTCTCAATACGGTGTCGCAGCTGCAGATCCAGAGGCGCCA